ATGCGGCTTTTGATAGCATAACTAGGAGCACAAAAGGGGGATGGATTATTCGTAACTCGACTGGCGCATCTTTAGGTTGGGGAGCTTCTCAACTAGGAACATCTATTTCACCGTTAGAAGCTGAAGCAAAGTCATTATTAGCTGCACTACAACAAGTTTGGTTAAGGGGCATTACGAATATTTGTTTTGAAGGAGATTGCAAGTTATTAATTGATATGTTACACAAGCAACACTATGACATCACAATTGAAGCAGTTATTCGTGACATTCTATTTTGGGTTGAAAAATTTTCCAATATTTCATTTGCCTTTTGTAATAGAAATTGTAATAAAGTTGCTCATTTGTTAGCTTTCTCTGGATGTAATTCAACTACCTTTTATTCTGATTTCTTGAATCCGCCTATATGGCTATCGGACCAATTGTATTACGATTTCCACAATTATCAAATATAATTGTATTTTGACGAAAAAAAAAAAAAAATGTAGACGTCCTTAAGGATGATTAGGTTAGGAGAGACAAATTTGCATCTTAGTGGGGGGTTTTTTTTTTTAATCATACCGGAAGAAGTGAACATGAATGTTAAACAATGGAGTCATTCAGTGTATAATTGCATATGCGTGCGTGTGTGTCCACCTTTTGGTTAGACCTTGAGAGTAAGTTTAGGCATTGAATAGGGTTGAATGTTTAATATGGTCAAATAATACATGCAGTACTTTTGAATTAGAATTTTGAGAATTTTCATGGTATCACTTTTTAAATTGTTTTTAACTAACATATCCTATAATCAAACACAATTGCGGTGAAAATGATAGGACTGATCATCTCTATATTTTAGTTTGAATATATTGTACTATTCTTTAATTGTCTCTCAACCTAATTAATGGCCTCCTTTTTTTGACCAACGAAATGATTAGTACTCAAGTGTTTAAATAGACACAAAATTTTGAAAATTATTCAATAGTACTAGATTAGATCGCGTATGTATATAGTGAGTTATAGTGTTATATTTTAAAAATTTATGAAATAATTTACATTCTTAACAAAATAAAATTAATTGATCAATGTAAATACCTAATTTTCCCCCAATAATAAGATTTTAAAATAATTTTTCTATCTTTATTTATTTTATAAGTTTATATAAATTCAAAAACTTTAGAAATATCAATCAATGAAACGTACATTCTAGTTAAAGAGATATATCAATCAACGAAATGAATATTGTAACTAGAGATGGAACACCAACAAATTAAGAGAGACTAAGATATATTTCTTTATAAATACTTTTCTTTTTTCAATTAATAAAGTTTTAAAAACCTAAAATTTTAATTTTAATATTATTTTTATATTATGTATTTTGACTACAAAAATTTCAGTTTAATTTTTAACATACTTTTACATAGTTCAGTTTATTCATTTAAGAAACTTTTAAAAAACTAAAAAAAAATACATATACTTTGAATATTTTATACCGTGTGTTTTGATCACAAACTTTTTTATATTTAGAAATATTTCCATATTTCCAAAATATATATCATGGTTTTTTTTCTTTTTTACAAAAAAAAAATAAAAATTATATCGTAATGTTAAATATGTAAATATTGTCCATAAACTATATTTACACTGGTCTCTTTCCCCTTCTCCTCTGCTTTCTAAAACAATCTTTTATTCATACAAACTTGTAGGTTCATCTCTCTCATTCTTAGATCCATTTCTTTATCCTTACGTACCACTCCTCTTCTCAGTTTCACTCAAAGAAGAGTGCTTTTGTTTTTGTAAGCGGCCCATGCACTTGGACGTTAGATAAGCCCATTTCTTTGTTTTTGTTCATGCATATATATTCACGAGATGAATATGGTAGCTAGGTCTCTTGCTAGGTTTCTCTAGATCTATTTTTTTGTTAACAATAATATATCTCTTTCTCCGTGAGATCATATACAAATCATGAATCCATCATCTCCCATATCGTTTGATCTCATCTTGGAGATATTATCAAGATTACCTTCAAAATCAGTCGCCAGGTTTCGTTGCGTCTCGAAGCTATGGGCATCAATGTTAGCTAGTACACATTTCAAGGAGTTGTTCTTGACCAGATCCTCGGCTAAGCCGCGCCTCTTATTCGCCATTGTAGAAAACGGCGACAAACCAGGCTCATCAAGAGACGAACCATGTGGTGGTTTAAAATACGAAGCATGTGGTGTGTGGAGCTTCTTCTCGTTGCCTCAGCTTGAGTATCCATATGAGAAATCGAATCTTGTAGCAGCCGCTGAGTTTCATGTGAAGTTCTCTCCAGACGATCTTGTGATCAATCATTCGACTAACCTAAAATATTGTTCATGTGGCTACAACTCTGGCTTGATCTATATCCATGGTTATAGATATCAAGCTAGACCTCTGATATGTAACCCCATCACAGGACGGTATGTTGTTACACCTAAACGGTATACTTACAAAAAGGCGTATAGCTTTTTCGGGTTTGACCCGATTGACAAGAAATACAAGGTATTGTCCATGGTTTATCTAGGTGGTCCTGGTCGTCATAAAATTCTTACATTTGAAGATGGAGATTTGATATGGAGACATATTAAATGTCCCATAAAACATGATGTTAGGAGTGATGGGGTATGCATCAACGGGGTTTTGTATTACTTAGGTGACAAGAATCATCGTAATGATTATGTGATTGTTTGCTTTGATGTTAGGTCTGAAAAATTCACCTTTATCGACATAGAAAGGTTTTGTCGATTGATAAACTACAAGGGAAAGTTAGCTGTGGTTTATTGGAAGGATGATGTAGACATTTATGAGAGACATCATTTCGATATGGATGTCTATAGTTTTATGGAGAATAGTCTCGACGCTAATCCCGTTAATGAGTTACATGTGTGGGTTTTAGAGGATGTTGAGAAACATGAATGGTTGAAATATGTCTATACGTTGACCAATGATGAATTCTTCCGTCGTCGTCACGTTTCCTTTGTTGGAGCGACTGCTTCGGGTGACATAGTGTTTTCAATGCGTAAGTATATATCTGAACAACCGTTTTATGTTTTCTATTTCAATCCGGAAAGGACGACTCTCCAACGTGTTGAAATCCAAGGTTTTGGTGAAGCGTTTAAGAAACGTTGTAGCGTTGTCACCTTTGTAAACCATGTAGAAGATCTTGGTGTTAACGATTTAGAACTACTCAAGTCAGTCCATCCTCCGTTGGTGGATCCATGTGATGTATCAGAATCGGATTCAGATTATGATCCTTGGGGTTAGGTGAAAAGCAATGGTTGAAGTTTCTAAGGTTCATGAAGTTTTAAAAAATATATTAAAACTTCAAAAAAGTTGTTCATCTGTTCCTGCATTGTTTGCATTGTGCATATGATGATCCAATTAATTGTGTTCTAGTCTTCTAGAAATATATTTGAAGCTTCGGTTGTTGTATTGTCTTAGCTCCACTTTCTTACAACTACTTTCTAAGTAGAATTAACGACAACAGCGATGGCCAACGAATAGTGATCTCTAGAGAGTTATCAAAACAAGGGAATGAGTGACTACAATATAGTTTCACTATGTTACATGGAAACAAAAACGAATACGCGGAAGCGAAATGTTTTGGAAACGGAAAAAAAAATTTCTAAATGAAATTAGGATATGGATACGTATCAAGCATTAAAACCATATTAGAGAAAACAATGTTTGAAACAACAAGTTAATCGAAAATATAATTAAATACTAATTAGTTTAATTAAAAGATAAATAAAAAACTTAAATCCCTAAATTTAAATTGTTATATTTCATATATTCTTGTATATGTGTATTTAAATTAAATAATAGGTTTTAAAGGTATAAATTAAACACTCTGTATATCATACATCAAAATATTTTCAAAATATTTGTTTATTGTGTTTCTAAATTAAATATATAAGATTATGTCACGTTTCTTAAATAGAAATGTGAGTTTTTTTTATAATGTTTCCAAATTTAAAAAAAATTAGGAATCGTGTTTCTGTGTTTCTTAAAATTTACGTTTTCCGAAACAAGAAACAAACTTTAAAAAGAGTTTCCATGCAACCTAGGTTTTCAGTATGACTGAGGTTACAAAATTTAATAAAAACACGAGATTAAACCACAACGAGACACAATACTTGATCTTTAACCTACACAATTGATGATAAAGAGAGGTTTCAATAATACTGTATATTCCTTGTTTCGATCGAGACTACCAAAGCTTTCAAAATTCATCACAAGAACTTCAAAAAACAATATATAAAGACATGTTTCAATATTTATGGCAATAACAAAAGAGTGAAACTTGATCTCCTCTGCATATATGCATGTTCTTAATGATCCTTTACCGCTAAAGTTTTTATAAATATAATTTTTCATATAGAATTCATCAAAATATTTTAAATAAAAGAAACATATTTCATTTCAAACAATCAATTGTTTGGATATATATGAGAGCACAATAGAAATATTTTTTTTCCTTTTTATATTAAATTTTAATCTATTATTGCAAATTATGAGAACTGTTGGCTTCTACGAAATAGTTTTATTCAAAAATTTGATAATATATTTGTGATTTATAATTTAGTTTTGTGTATTTTATTTTAATTTATGATTTGTGTGTAGAATAATTTAATGTTTAATTAATGAAAATTGCTTTAATATATTTTTTAATGTATGTTTTATTAAAGTTTTATGATCTTAATTAATGTCTCTTAGACCAACTCTACTCGGGAGAGTTTAGACGTTGCTTAAAATTAAAGTGGGCCAGGAGTTAATCCAAAGCAAAGAAGAAGGGCCCATAAACCAAAGAAACGTTGGTTATTGAGGCGTCGGAATAATCGCTTTAGTACCGCCACATGGCTAATTTTGATTGGAAGATGAGGAAAATAAAAAGGGGAAAAATATTATTTCTCCCAATTATTGTCCGTTTTTTTGGCGGGAAAATTTTTGTCCGTTTCTTTGGCGGGAAATTTTTTGTCGGAAAAGTTTTAGCGGGAATTATTGTCGGATTTTTTTGGGCGGGAAATTTTGACGGAAAAAACCAGCTAGGGTAAAATGGTCATTAAAAATTAAAAGAGAGCAAAACTAAAAATGACAAAGAAGATATTTTTGTAAAATAATATCATTATTTATGATTTTCATTATATTTTAATTAGATTTATTTGTTTAATGAACTGTGCATCTAGTTTTGTTAAAACCCATTTATTAAACGGACATAAACGGGCTCGTCCATTTATGTCCAACAAAGTTTATAACGGACACGGACATTAAACGGGCTCAAAATTTTGTAAAGACCCGTTTACGTCCAACGGACAATTGTCCATACTAACATCCCTATTTGTGAGTATAGTGATTTTATGGGTTGTTGTTTCCATTTAGGATTATCGCTGAGGAGATTATAGCAAGTCGCTGAGGAGATTATAGCATATGAATTAGTTACTGTACTTCTTGAAGACCCGACTGATGACAGTGTGGAGGTGGCTGTTAGGGTTTGTGACCGAGTGTGGTGCAATGCTTCAAGACGTTACACCAAAAGGATTGCATGGTAAAAATTCTTTCAATCTCTTTTTGTTATGCTGACTATTTGTATTTACACTTAATCCATCTAATTTGTTCACAAGTCAGTCTCTAAAGGATGATGTTGAAATTTGGTTGTATGTCTTAAAACACTATTTGCAAATTATTAGCCCAACGGACTACACACTATTTGGAATAATTTGTCCAAATGACATATTTGGATTACACACTATTTGCAATGATTAGTCCAAATGATATATGTGATTACAATTTTTTAACCTATATATAAGATATCTAATATAATTACTTAATTCTGTTTTTTTTTTTCTTTCCATGTGAAGTGTGTGTCCAATAATGATATAATGGACAAGAATGTGAAATATCTAATACATTATATATGTACATGCATTTTTTGAATTATAAACAAGTATGAATTTTCATGGTATCACTTTTTAAATAGTTTTTAACTAACATATCCTATAAACCAACACACTGAACACAATTGCTGTGAAAATGATAGGATTAAATTGATCGTCCATATATTTTAGTTTGAATATAATATATATATATATATATATATATATATATATATATATAAATAGATTTTGTATAATTTTATAATTGTCTCTCAACCGAATTAATGGCCTCCTTTTCTTGACCAACGAAATGATTTGGGAGCTTAGTGTTTGTTTTTTATAGACACCAAAACTATTCTATAGTTTCCTCCTTCACTAGAAGAAGCCTAAAGCTAGAGGCCCATGCACTTGGACGTTAACTTAGCCCATTTCAGGTCTTTGTTTGTGTTATCTCTCTTTCTATTCTCCATACTCCTATTTCATTTAATGAGACTTGATATTCCATTTTCACTCTCCTTCATTATTTGCCCAAATATTTACTTTTAATTAGAAAAGAAAAAAAACTAAAACAAACCCTACGTTCTTGATTCCATCAGTGTCGATTCCGCCGCCGTCGACGATTCTTTGCCGAAGTTCTCCAATACCGATGTTTCATCATCTTTTTCAAATTATATCAAGCTCTTCTTCAATTTGCAGGTGTGTTTTTCTATATAAAAGTAAAATTTTAAGTTAATATGTTTGGTTTTGGATTTTGGTAATCTTGATTGGATTTTGCTTGAAAAGCTTAGCAGATTAGGTGTTTTACCATGGGTTTTGGGTTGATTGAGCTAATTAGTTGATAACAAATAGATTTCAGTGTTTGAATCGTAGTGAATTGCAGAGTTTAGAAACCGAGACATTCGATTCGATTTTGAGTATAACTAGTAATACTGGTAAATGTAGTATAACTAGTAAAACTGGTAAAATTAGTATAACTAGTAAAATTGGTAATACTGATTAATATAGTACAACTAGTAGTATTACTGTTTGACCTTTTTAGAATTGTTTTGGCAGGATACAATGAGCGAAAACGTTAGCATATATTTTAAATGTGAAGATTATATGTATAGTATTATGTTCCACACACAAGTGAGAGATATAACGTTGTTGATGTTAAAAGCAAGGATAAACAAGAAACTTGGATATGTTGAGAGCCGCGTTAGAATGGATTTGAGCTACTATCCGCTAGTGGTAGGTGTAGCGGAAAAGTGTGAACTTATTGATGATGAGGATGTGAATGTGTTTCTATTGTCCGTTGATCATGAGAAGCGAAAATGTATATTGTATGTGGATGTCACCATTGTCTCGGAACAGCATGAGCAAGTGCTTAATGATGATGATAAGGCTGTTAGAGTGGACCAAAGTTCTGTTAACCAACAATGAAAAGATTCTAATTTTTTTTTATTCATGTTTGCTCTTTTGGTGTGTACTACTATTATCTTGGTTATGTCACAACTATTGTAAAACTTATTTTAAATTCTAGTAATGTTTGATTTTCTTTAAATTGATGTGAATATTTATGTTGTCATAACAAACTTATTTATGTTGTCATAATTAAGATAAAACTGGTATTAAAAAAGTTAAACATCCATTATTTTTAAAGAAAATCTAAGAATGTGTGTACTAGTAAATGTCAAAAGTAAATTTTAAATGTTTACAAAGAGTTAAATTTTAGAAAATATAAAATTTTGGTTGGTATTAAAGAATTCAATCAAGTGTTTCCTTATACTTTTAAGTTCACTTTGTAAATAATCACCAAATTGAGATGACAAAGTTACAAAATTATAGATTTTATATATATTAGTGCATTGAAGACTTTTAAGTTTATGTTTATAGACTTTAAATAACTGTACAAATAAAAAATATAATTTTAAGAGTGGGTAAAACTAATTAACTTAAAGAACCTCAAAAGTACAACTATTTGTAATTTTGGTACAACTAAAATCCTAGGTATAATAAAGTGTAAACACACATATTGCACACGTGGCAATACATTTGTCATACTAGTAAAACTGGTACAACTGATATAACTAGTATAACTGAGGAAAGTTAGAATATGTGATATTAAATATGTATTTTGTATAGAATGATAATTTCACATTTGTAAAAATTATCTTGTAGCTTTTGTCCCTTGGTAACTGAAAGATATGTTTAAACTGTAGATCAATTCCTCTCAAACTTAGTGAGCATATTATTCAATTCACACACGTTGTCAAAGGCTTCGTTGATATAAGAACTCGTCAATAACTTAATTTTCTTGTTGTACTCTCTCGAAAGGAAGTATTTCTTAGAGGTCGTAGTGGTGTCGCTTCCTCTTCAAAATCCTGCAAAAAACAGTTATACCAAGTAATATCAAGTTATACTTTATCACAAATTTCTCAAAATACGAATACTTTTACATAGTTATAATAGTATTAAAAATAAAGTCCGGCTAGTTTTATCTAGTTTTACTAAGTTAAATTAGTTATCTTCATTTTACTTATTCTCCTTTGTTTTTTTTTGTAAGACTATTTCATGGTTGTAAATAAAAATCGCTTGTTAATTGCCGCCGTTTTTTCTTTCCGAAATGGTTCCAGAGATCACATGTTCTCTCTTCTTTCTTCTTCCCTATTTGGTTCCGAGATCACTCTCTTTCTTCTCCTCCTTCTACTTCATTTTCTTTCGTTTCCTCTTCGAAATCCTGCAACAAACAATAATATATCTCAGCAATTTCTCATAAGACTAATAGTTATATCTAGTTTTACGAGTTTTACACAGACTAGTTGTACCAGTTCTACCCGTTTTAGACACATTAGTTGTATCAGTATTACCCAGACTAGTTATACTTAGTTCCACTAGTTTTACACACAATATTGTACCAGTTTTACCGGTTTTATACACACTAGTTGTATTTAGTTCTACCAGATCTACCATTACACATGCAAGTTGTACCAGGTCTATAAGATCTACCAGTTTTACACCACAAGTTGTACCTAGTTCTACCGGTTCTAAATACCAAAAATCTATTTTAATTCCAAATCTCTCTACAAACACCATAGTAGTTGCGTTACTTACACTTGAATCGTTGTGGTCGGCCCTCACTTCGCCTTGAACACTCTTCGGCTTCAACTCCTTCGGCTAGTACTCCTTCTTCGACCATAGCACTAGGAGATTTGGTTCCCGAGTTTGAACTTCCCTCCTCAGTATTTACTTCTTATCCTTGTACTTTTCCTTCTTTTTCTTCTCCATTACAATCAGATCCCAGAGTCTCAGATCTCTAGTTATCTTCTGCTGAAATCGAGCCACCTTCTCCTTCTTTTTCGTCGAAATCGATTCCTTTTTCACTCAGTTGTTCCAAATTATGTCTTCCCAAACATGAAACAAACTATGTTTTCAGTTGAGGTTTACAAAATTCAAAAAAAAAACACGAGATTAAACCACAACGAGACACAATTCTTGATCTTTAACCTACACAATTAGATGATAAAGAGCGGTTTCGATAATATATTCTTGTTTCAATCGAGACTTCCAAAGCTTTCAAAACTCATCACAATAACTTCCTACACAGTACACAACAATATATAAAGACATGTTTCAATATTTATGGCAATAACAAAGGAGTGAAACTTGATATTCTCTGCATATGATGCATGTTTTTAATGATCCTTTACCCTGAGTCTCACAGATGAATGGTAAAATAAAAAAACCGTTAATTTTTTTTATAAATATATATTTTACATCTTGAATTCATCACTAATCACTTTAAAACGAACACATCAAAATATTTTAAATAAAAGACTCATATTTCATTTTAAACAATCAATTGGTTGGTTATATACGAGAGCATTAGAGAAATAGTTTTGTTCTTTTCTTATTAACTCTCGATTTATTATTGAAAATTATGAAAATCGTTGGCTTTCACGAAATAGTTTTGTTCAAAAATATGATAATATATTTGTGATTTATGATGATTTAGTTTTGCGTGTTTTATTTTAATTTATGAGTTGTATATATAATTTAATGTTTTATTAATTGAAAATTGTATGTAAGATTTTTCTTTAATGTATTATTAAAGTTTTTATGATCTTAATAAGTTACTAAAGACAAAAAAAAAAAGAGATTTTCATGAGTCTCGTGAAAATAAATGTCGATGACGTGGCGGTATATTACCGATAAGCCTCTTATTGAATCAGAGCGTTCAAAGTGCTTCCCCAAAATTAAAGACAGGATCTTCAACTGAAGATTCTTTATTTGAATTGAAGATAAAACCCGACCCGGATCCGAATCTAAAGTACTTGACCCAACGACAGCTCTTTCAACCCACTCTCGGTGCGCTTCCAATTCGCGATTGCCGTCTTTCTGTTTGTTTACCGGAGAAGAAGAAACCATCTTAAAAAAACCCATTCGACAAAAATTCGAAATTTTGATTCGCTCGATACACGAATTTTTGAGTTTTTGTATGGTTTTGATCCCGGCGAGAGCTCTGGATCCGATTTCATCAGAATCGTGGTGAGAGATTATGGAATTGGGGTTTCCTCGGGAGTGAAGGATGATCCATAGAAGAAGAAGAAAGAGTGAAACTTTCCAAGGATTGATCTGAACAATCATGTGGCTTTCTTTCTTAAGACCCAGAGATCGTTTCTCCTTAGCCGAACTCAGGTTTTTAAAGTTTTTGATTTTGATCGGCTTTTGATTTTGTGCTTAACCTTGATCCTGCAACATGTTTTAAATTGTGGCTGAGATCATTGTTGGTTGTGATTTTTGTGAATTATGCTTAAAAAATCTGTCTTTTTGGGTTCTTCTCTGTGTTCTCTTTGGTATTGGAATTTGGAAGTTAGGTTTTTGGGAAGTGGAATGTTTGATTACTTGAATTGTGTTATGGATATTTCAACTCTTTATGTTTTAGTGAGGGGTCGATTTTATAGATATTGCAGCGATTTGGGTGGGTTAAAAGGGACTATCTTTGACCATAGGACGATGGAAGAGTTCTCGGAAGTTCATTGGGATCTTAGTGTTAATGACATTAGTTGTTTGTTGACTATACCAGATGATGATGTAACATAACTGTTGAAAGTTTGTATTTTTTGTTTGATCATCTTTGATTTTGGGCGAACAAGTTCCATTTGTGAATTATCTCTGTTTCATTTTTGTTTGAATCGTGGTTGAGATTGGTTGTGAGTTTTGAATGATTTGTGAATGATATGCTTAAAATTGTGTCAGGGATGTTGTTGGTCATCTCTTTGGAATTGGAATGGGTTGTTTAAATTTAGTTGCTAGGGTTTCTAGGATGGTTTGATGGTGCCATTTAAGGGCACTGTTTAAGTTCATCTTTCACCAGTTTCAGTCAGGGTTAGGGGTCAACGTTATAGAAATTGAAATTAATTGGGTGGGTCGAATGAACTATATTTTGACCTTAGGACAATGATTTATTGCGAGAGTTTGTTGAGATCTTGGTGTTACGACATCAGTTGTCTTGTTGTTGATTATACCAGATCATGAAAGTGTTGGAAATTTGTTTTTTTAGGTATCTGACTGACCAGTTGAGAAAAATTCAGATCGTGAACGAAGCTAATAAGGTTAGTGACATAAATCCTTTGCATTTTAGCTACTACTATCGTGGCATTTTTGTTTCGTTTTCGGTTGTGTTTTGATCTTTGATTACCGGGTACCATTTTGAAGGATCTCGTTGTCGAGGCATTGAGATCAATTGCGGAGATATTAACTTATGGTGATCAGCATGACCCTTCATTCTTTGAGTGAGTCTTTTTGTCAATTATCACTCAGCACCGTTCCTAGTGGCATATATGTTAATATTTACGATCGTTTCAGATTTTTTATGGAGAAACAAGTAATGGGAGAGTTTGTACGTATTTTGAGGGTTAGCAAGACAGTAACAGTTTCTGTCCAGTTGTTGCAAACCATGAGTATAATGATCCAAAACCTAAAAAGCGAACAAGCAATCTGTGAGTTCATTAGGTGAAGTTCAATTTTTCTACGAGAATTCCCATGATAACAGTCTATTAATGACATTCAATTCCTTGCAGACTACTTGTTCAGTAATGAATATGTAAACTATTTGATAACATATACATTTGATTTCCAACACGAAGAGCTTCTATCTTACTACATATCCTTCTTAAGGTAATTTTTTATTGCTGTTATCTAGGCTTTAGGAAGTACTTACTGACTGTATCTGATAACTGTTCTATTGTTTGCTTAATGTAGAGCTGTTAGTGGGAAGCTAAACAAGCATACAATATCATTGCTTTTGAAGACCGAGAACGTGAGTTTTCTTTAAGTTTCAGATTCCTTTTACTTTAATATTCTTTTATGGATATTTTTTTGCCATATCTTAATTCTGCGTTTCTGCGTCTAGGATGTAGTAGCTTCTTTTCCCCTTTATGTCGAAGGCATACAATTTGCATTTCATGAAGAGAACATGATACGCACTGCAGTTCGTGCCCTGACTCTTAATGTATATCACGGTCAGTCACTTCTAATAGTTCTTGTGATTTGTCATTTGTATGGTAACGATAAGCAGAATTCTTGGCGATGTTTCTAATGCCATCAGTTTGTTTTTGCAGTTGGCGATGACTCTGTAAATGATTATGTAGTTAGTTCACCACACACCCAGTATTTTTCAAAGTTAGTTTCATTTTTCCAAAAGCAATGCATGGATCTAAGCGCAATGGTGTTGAACACTCTAAAGTAAGATACATTGCATTTTTATTTCGCAGGGCAATAGTTTGAAAATTGATCATTAACTTATCCTAACCCATTTTCATCTGTCAATTTATTTTGTTCATATATGATCTGGATAAATTAAGTTTTCTGAAATTTTTTATTTCATCTTTGGTAAAGGAGCCCATCTCCAGATTCTGGTGGAAAATTGTTTTCTGCTGTTGATGGGATCGAGGACACCTTGTACTACTTTAGCGATGTTATCTCTGCTGACATACCTGATATCGGGAGACTGATAACTGATCACATTCTGCAGCATCTAACTCTCCCACTTCTTCTCCCGTCTTTATACTCTGAGGCTGTAAATGTACAAAATATCACCTTTTTCGTCTTAATATCCTTTTCAGACTTGATTTATTTGGTCCGTCATGATATTTTTTTAGCCTTGTTAGGTTTAACTATTTGCAGAGTACCATTTCTTATTTCAGTTAAATATTGGTTTTGTTGATATTTCAGGAGGTATCAGTTGATCCTGTCACTTCTCTCTACCTGCTTTCCTGCATTCTGCGGATAGTTAAAATCAAAGATTTGGCAAATATGACTGCTGCTACTCTTTTCTGCCCTGTAAAAGCATTCATCTCAAGTTCCCTAGTGAAACCTAATAGCAGCTTGGCTCCTGAACGCGTTACATATGGAAATGGGCATCCAGACAATGGTGTCACTGAGGAGGCAGATCAACAGTGTTCAAGCACTGCAGTCATGAGTGAGGATAAAAATTCCCACGTTTGCAGTGAAGATGCTGCTACCAAAATTATCTTCAACAATTCGCATATTACGTTTAGGTAACATGTTAGCACATAAGACCTTAAACAAAATTATGATAGTTGATTTTTCATACAATGCTGTCTTAATAGTGTCCGATTTTAGTATTAAACTGATGGGGTTTTTTGTGTTACTAGAGAGACTTTACTTCGGTATATTTCTGAGGGAGATGATGTGCAAGCTCAGGGTTCATTGTTTGTGCTAGCCACTTTGTTGCAGACGAAAGGTATTGGCGGTGGCATTGGGCAGATTATTCTCGCCTTTTCTGGTGGTGTTGTGCAGATTATTCTCGTCTTTTCTGGTTTTGACTACTTACATTTAATTTTTGGTAGAACTTGAAGAGTCAATGCTAGATGCTTTTGGCATTCTTCCTCAGCGTAAGCAGCACAAAAAACTTTTACTGGTGAGTTTCTGTCATTATCCTTTATCTTGTGATTAATATCTTTTCCAGAAGACTTTCCAGGGTAAATCGCATCTCAATGGATTCCTGCTACTAATACACATTACTGGACCATCTACTTTAGCATGCACCACAAAATTGATGTACTTGTTGAACAGCCTTTTTATTCTTATTCAACATTTAATTGGTAGCTATATCTCTGACAGCAATCTTTGGTTGGGGAGGACTCTGGTGAAGAACAACTGTTTTCACCACGAAATGGTTCTATGAGAGATGGTTTAAGTAGCGAGCTTGATTGGTTTCTACGAAGGTTGGAGGTACTTTGTTGCATCTCTTAACCTCCATCTCTTTGGTCTTTTGTTATAGTGTGAGTGATTTATTCGTTCCAATACCTTCAACAGGAGCAATTTGGAGTATGCTGTTCATTGCCTAGGGCTGCAAGGTGCCCCCGTGAACATAGACATCAGGTAAATTATGAATGTTTGTAATCCCAAGCAATCAGCATAGCTTCTTTTGAACTTCCAACTTTTAAATCTAGGTTCTTTTTTCATAATAGTACAAAAGTTCTTTGTGTTGATTTAATAACAAAATGTGGTGTAGGTGGTGGATGCATTGGTCAGTCTTCTCTGCCGAGAAAACATATCTGCGGAAACATTATGGGATGGAGGATGGCTGTTACGCCAATTGCTTCCTTACAGCGAGGCAGAATTTAATCGCAAACATCTCAAGATGTTGAATGTATGTTCCGTTGAAAATGCTTCTGTTTTGGTTTGACACTTTTTCACTCCTCCCCCTTCTCCTCTCTTCATTACTTACTAATTTCCTGCTTATGACAGGTTTCCTATGAGAAATGCAAGAGTGCGCTTACCCAGGAGATTAAAGGTACCTGGCCTGATCTACTCATCACAGCACTGCTTGATGAGTGGAAAAAGTGCAAAAGAGGCAAGTAAAGAAGCATATTGTATTTTGATTGTATGAATATATTCAGTGAATCTGATACCAAATATCTGCTGACAGTGATCGAAGCTCCATCCCCTCAAAAAGAGCCTAAATCTGTTCTTCTTCAGCTTGATAGATCCTCTTCTAATGGTAAAATTTTGTTACAGATCTTGCGTAATCAGTTTGATAACAAATGTGAATGTTATGGACATTCCCTTGTTAAATTCGTGTCCATACAAACCATTAACTCTAAAGATCTTTTATAGATAACACTGTTAGCGAATCATCATTCACAGCAGGTGAAAGAATGTGCGAAGTGGTTAAGGTATGTAAACTCTTCTCTTTATAGTTCTATCAGTGCTTGTCGTTATTTTATATGATAATCAACTTTTCCCCCTTAGGTTTTCGTGCTTCTTCATCAACTCCAAATCTTCTCGCTTGGTAGGCCCTTACCGGAGCAACCTCCTATCCATCCTCCAGCCGACCGATCTGAAACATCTCGTGCCACAATTGCTTGTTTGGATGTTTCAGTCATCAAACCTGGCACCCAACTGAAGCTAGGTTGGCACATGATGCTTTTTTGCTTTTCATAGTTACATTCTCTAACAAACCACACAATGTCCATCATCAATTAGAACTCCAGTTTGATTGGGTTGTCTTGGTATCCAAAGTTAATCAAATCTTTGAAATTTCCTGGTGCAGTTGGTGCTGTGCCCTGTAGAATTGCCTTTGAAAGAGGCAAAGAACGGGATTTCTCATTTCTAGCCTTATCGTCTGGTGTGTCTGGGTGGATTGTCCTTGCTGATCCAGATAATGGAATCGTCCGTGTTACCGCACCTTTAGCTGGCTGCAAAGTACGTAATCACCTTCACTGTCTTTTTCTTTAACGGAACTTCTTGTGAAGATCACACAGCGAAGAACAGAATATAACATGGTAAATGATCTATCATCTTTTGTTTGTATTTCAGCCCCGAATAGATGAAAAGCACCCGAAATGGCTACACCTGAGAATCCGACCATCTACGTTACCGTTATTGGATCCAACAAAGCGAGGAGCCTATGAGAAGCTCAAGTCCAAAGGTCTAGTAGACGGGAGATGGATATTAGCATTCAGAGACGACGAATCTTGTCACTCTGCTTACTCAATGGTTGCAGATGAGATCGATCAACAATGCAGCGAGGTAGACAGAAGGTTAAGACCATTATTTGACCTAGAAAGAAACCAGCAAGAAGATGAATGAAAACATTTTCGACGCCTCGTCTTTCATCAATTTGGTCTTCGTCGGGTTGAGATCTCATTCAAAAGTTTGGTATTGATTGATCTTCCCCCACTTCTTGAATATATATGAAACGCCATACCAATTTAGATGCACTCTTAGGAGCAGCGCTTCCATGATTCTTTCAACGTACCCGCATTTTCAGGTGCCTTGTTTCACAAGTTTCTTGTCCATTCCATTCAAGCAGCTCTATATTTGTTTATTTGTTTTTTGTTAATTTTTTTTTCCTTTTTGTAATAGTGGTCTTAATGTAATATCATTGTATAAAATACCATTTGCTTCATTGACATTATGCAATAAAGAAGAGAAACAATGACCTGCCGTTAATACGATGTCGCTTCATGCTTTCGTTACATACGACGCCGTTTTTGATTTGGGCGTTTTATATAAATTAAAAAATTTGAAGGGTGAAATAATAATTTAACTAAAAGCTTGTCAGTTCTTAACCGACCAGTACCACCGGTGGTGTGTAAAGGCGAGAGCTTTATTTTTTCTCTCTTCGGCGGGAGAAAATGGCGACAATGGAAGAGTCAGATGTAAAGTGATAAATTTTGTGTTTTTTTTATTACTTTAACGATCTGGGTTTTGTAATTTTTGTTGATGACGAGCTTCGTTTTTGCTTTTGTTGGTTGTAGAATGCGAAGGCTTTGAAGAAAGCTTACGCGGATATGATTCTTAACACGGCGAAGGAATCATCGGCTAGGGTTATGGTTTCCGACAGAAGAACAGCTCGGTTTCACTACGATCTTTGCGGAACTAAAGACGAAGCTCTTCGTTTACTTGTCCGACTGAAACAGATGATTGCTGCTAAGGTTAAGTATAATCCTCTGAGAAAAATTTAGGGGTTTAATATATAAAGTTGGTAACTTTTACTTTTTGGTGACCTCTCTTGTGTTAGTTTTGCCTTTTTCCTGAACGAGTATGAACTCAACTGATTTGGGTATTTTTTACTTGTTGGGTTTGTTACTCACTGATTTGAGTTCTGTGAACAGACAATTGAAGCAGAGATTACGTCATCAAACCAGCAAACAAAGATTGATGTGCTTGAAGTTCAGTTACAAGAGGCTGAAGATATTATTACTGATTTGAGGTCAGAGTTGAGATGGGTCAGAGACAAATTGAAGAAAGCTAAGAATGTAGTTAACAAGGAACAAGAGACCATTTCTGCTCAGAAGATTGCTGATCTAGAGGTTGTTGTTGGAAGTGTGCATCCTAATAAAGACATTAGTGGATCTCTTCCGAATCAGATCTCATTGCATGATGATGAATGTGGTGGTAATGGAACCGTTTCCGCTCCACAAGTTATTGTAAGTTTGCATACTAATCAAGAGGATGGAGATATGAGTGACTCTCTTTTGAATCAGAGCTCATTGTTTGATGATGAATGTGGAAATGTCGGAATGCAGTTTGACAGGTTGTGTGTTGAAACTTTAAAGGCTTGTGAGTCTGGATTGGATGCGAATATCAGGAGCCAAAAGCTTGAGCTGTCTCGAACTGGTTGTACACAGAGGATCCATGCTTTAGAGACGAAAACATCTTCTGCTAATGAAGAAGAGCGACACACAGCTGACAAAGATAGTGAGAAAAACTTAAGCTCAGGACATGAAACTGGCACCAGGGCGAACACAAGATGTCTTGTTCTTGCTCTTAGAGCCAGGAATGCAGAGGTGATACCAATAAAGCCATCAAATTCACTAGGAATCAAGAAGTCTTACAAATTACAAGGAAGGAAAAAGACGAGGTGGAGCAAACGAAAAGCTACACTAGGTAGGTCTCAAAGTCAGCTTATAAAACCTTGTAAATCTCAGTGTGATATTCCCTGTTCCAAGACATCAGTGGAAAATTCAGATTGCGAAGATTCCCTGGATACGGATCTGTCAGTAGACAATGAGGAGGTTGATGCTCTTAATTCTTGTAAAGGATTTGATGAACATTTACACGTTAATGATATCAGTATCATCTGTAAAGGGAAAAGAAGCAACAATGTGGATCATTGGGGTGGTTTATCTTCCCCTGTAAATCCTACGGATCATTTGGTAGAGGCCTATCATGAATCTAATGTAGTCTCTGTTAGTGTTGAGGATGGTGAAAGTAAGGCACATATACCTAAAAATGAGACTAAGATGAAGCCGCTTCCTTGTTTGGATCCTGGGTTAACTTCATTTAAATGCAATGTGGATCCAACTTCAGGATCCACAAATGCTACTGTCGTCAGTGTGAATGCAACAAATAGTTCAACAGATAAAGACCTGAAATCAAGAGAAGAAGATGTGTTGGTAAGATGTGAAGGGGAAAAAAATAGTGTGGTTCCAACTACCAAAATGGGCTCTGAGTTGGTCAATCCTCGTTCTGACTTGAAAGCTACTGCAGTGATATCAGATCAAATCAGTGAGTCTCGGAAAGCTGACAGAAATCACCTTGTGAAGTATACATTCCAAAGGAAACGAAAAAGGAATCTTTAAACCAAAACGATGACAATTATTCTCCATGGAAGAGAAAGAAGACAATGCACAAGATCCGGTTAAATCATCTAAGAGTAACCACACAATTAGGTGAGTAAATATCCATTCATGTTTCACAGTCTTGCTATTAGAAACACAATATCTGATATGACATTGCTTTTAATTGTTAGCACTCACAACATTTGTTCAGTTAGTGCTGCTCTTTTGGCCATGTGCAGTTTATTTCCTTGTCTGAAAACTGATGGTATAGTAGTATAGCTCTGTTCAAGGGAACTCTTGAGAACATCTTTTATATCAACTAAAGTTTTAAAGCTTAGATTTATGTGTTTATCTCTCTTGACAACTTACTTGACACCTTATTGTGACAACTGACAACCCAATGTTCTTTCTTGGTGTGTGTTCATGAGTCACTGGGACTTGGAGAATACAAGTTGTTATTAGCTCTTAAACTGTAGTAATTCATGTGTATTTTTAGATTCTAGTGACACGAGAGAGAATCATAACTAATATGTGAGTTTTGCAAGTGTTATTATTATAATCATCCACTATAGTATACCATAATACCAACATGCTCTAGATTAATATTTAACGCAAGCGTATGGCAATTACCAATCCTTGTCTCTTCTTCTTTCGGTTTCATCTTCTTTAGTTGACTTCTTTTGATCTCTCCCTTCATCAATTATAGATTGTTCTTCTTCATATTGTATCTCTTACCAAAAATATTTCTTTCTATGTTATGGCTTTTTCTTCTTCTTGTAATTGGATGTTTGACGTCTTCCCAAGCTTCAGTGGGGAAGATGTCCGTAAAAGATTCTTAAGCCATTTGCTCAGAGAGCTGGATCGAAAACTGATCGTTTCTTTTAAAGACAACGAGATCGAGAGAAGTCTATCACTAGATCTCGAGCTTAAACAAGCGATAAGGTCTTCTAGGATCGCGGTGGTTATATTCTCTAAAAGTTACACTTCTTCAAGCTGGTGCCTAAACGAGTTGTTGGAGATCGTGAAATGCAAGGAAGAGTTTGGACAACTTGTGATACCGGTTTTCTATGATTTGGATCCTTCTCATGTGAGGAAACAAACTGGAGAATTTGGAATTGCATTTCAAAAGACTTGCCAGACCAAAACAGAAAAAGAGATACAATTGTGGTGCCAAGCTTTGACTGATGTAGCTAATGTTCTCGGATATCATTCTCAGAATTGGTACGTTTTTATTTATTGATTTATAATATACTATTTTTTCGTTGAATTCATTATATGTATATGTAACTCATGTCTTGAGTTTCGAGTACTGAAACTTGTTGTTTCATGGTTTTTGGAATTATGTTTTACCTTGTTAGGCATAGCGAAGCAAAGATGATTGAAGCAATTGCAAATGATGTTTTGGATAAGTTGAATTTAACTCCATCCAGGGATTTTGAAGACTTTGTCGGAATGGAATATCATATTGCACAGATGAGTGGCTTATTGCATTTAGAATCTGAAGAAGTGAGAATGGTTGGGATATGGGGCTCTTCTGGAATTGGCAAGACTACTATTGCAAGAGTTTTATACAATCAACTGTCTCGTTGGTTCCAAGGTAGTATTTTCATTGACAGAGCTTTCGTATCTAAGAGTACGGAAATTTATGGTACTGCCAACCCGGATGACTATAACATGAAACTACATTTGCAGAGTAGTTTTTTGTCTAAAATTTTAGACAAAAATGATATAAGGATTCATCATTTATGTACAGTGGAAGAAAGGCTAAAGCACAAGAAAGTTCTTATTGTTATTGATGATTTGGATGATCAAGTGGTGCTAGATACATTGGCTGGTCAAAATCATTGGTTTGGATGTGGGAGCAGAATCATTGTGGTTACAAAAGATAAACAGTTTTTAAGGGCTCATGGAATTAATCATATTTACGAGGTCGGTCTACCATCTAAAGAGCATGCTCTTGAGATATTTTTTCGATCAGCTTTCAAGAAAAACTCTCCACCTGATGGTTTGATGGAGCTGGCTTCTGAAGTTGCCTCCCGTGCTGGCAATCTTCCTTTGGGTCTTAATGTTTTAGGTTCATATTTACGGGGTAGGGGAAAAGAGGATTGGATGGATATGATGCCTAGTCTTCGTAATAGATTGAATGGGAAGATTGAGAAAACATTGAGAATAAGCTACGATGGATTAAATAGCAAAAAAGATGAAGAGATATTTCGTCACATTGCATGCATCTTCAATGGTGAAAATATCAACAATATCAAACACCTGCTAGCTAAAAGTGACGTAGAAGATGTTAATATCGGGATTAAAAACCTTGTTGATAAGTCCCTCATACATGTAAACCGAGATACTGTGACAATGCATAGTTTGCTACTAGAAATGGGGAAAGAAATTGTACGTGCACAGTCCAATGAGCCTGGGGAACGAGAATTTCTTGTGTTTGAACGATATTCGCGATGTACTTGAACATAACACTGTAAGTTTCTTCATACCCTTCATATACATTAATCACTTACTTCATAAGATTTGGGTACCTTTAATATATATAAGCAATCTAATGTGTTCGTTAAGGTGATAGTTTTTTCTTGATATTATAATTTCAGGGTACCAAAAAGGTATTAGGGATAGCATTGGATATTGATGAAACTAATGAATTTTATATTCATGAGAGTGCCTTCAACGGTATGCAAAATCTCATTTTTCTAAAAATTAACACTAAGACAAGGGACATTAAGAAAGGATTTAGATGGCATTTTCTTGAAGGCGTAAACTACTTGCCCCCTAAACTTAGACTATTGAGCTTGGATGGATATCCAATGCAATGTATGCCTTCCAGTTTTCGTTTTGAGACCCTCATTAAGCTCGAAATGCGGTGGAGCAAACTCGAGAAACTGTGGGAAGGAGTTCATGTAAGCTTTGATAAAATTTTAATTATTATCTAGATTAGAATCGTTGGTATACTTTAGATGAGTGTCTTTCCTACTGATGTAGTTTATTTATACTTCAGGATCTTCCGAGGCTCAAAGAAATGAATTTGGGTGGGTCTGAAAACCTGAAAGAAATTCCAGATCTTTCTCTGGCAACTAATCTTGAGAAACTTCGTTTCGACTCTTGCTCGAGTTTGGTGGAGCTTCCTTCATCTATTCAGTATCTTAGTAAACTAACTTACTTGTCCATGACTGACTGCACAAAATTGGAGACACTTCCAACCGGAGTGAACCTGAAATCTCTCGAAGAACTCAATCTATGTGGTTGCAAGCGGTTGAAGACCTTTCCTGAAATCTCAACCAACATCACATTTCTCCGGCTATCTCATACAGAGATTGAAGAGTTCCCTTCTAACTTGCGTCTAGATAAACTCCGTTATCTTTTCATGTTTGAATCGAAGAGTAAGAAGTTGTGGAATAGAGTGCAGGTATGTACTTAAACCTAACATTGTCTCCAACCATTTTATTACTAAAACATTTATAAGAAGTTTATGTCACTAGGTAGGACTTTTTTAACTTTATGAAAAACAAATTTTAGAGGAAACACAATTTATTAATTTCTAATTGCATATTAGTGTATGTAGATCGAATGTTTAACATCTCTGAATTGTTTCCTGTTTTTGATTCAGCCGCTTACATTACTCATGACTATCTTGTCTCCCTTTCTAAGGGTCTTGATGCTCTCGAGTATCCCAAGCTTGGTGGAGATTCCTTCTACTATCCAGAATTTCCCTTTACTAAGGGATTTGAAAATTATGAATTGCATAAATCTGAAGACTTTTCCCACTGGAATCAACATCCAATCTCTCGATCGTCTCAATCTCATAGCATGCACACGGTTGAGGAACTTTCCTGATATCTCAAGAAACATCTCAGTGTTCTTTTTAGACCAAACAGGGATTGAAGAAGTTCCTTGGTGGATCAACGAATTCACTAAGCTTCGTCTTCTAAGTATGCCAGGATGCAAAAATTTGAGAAAAGTATCTCTTAATACTTCCGAACTGAAACACCTTATCATCGTTAACTTTTCAGACTGCGGAGCTCTAACTGAACTTATGTTGAACGATAGTTCAAGTATGGTGGCAACAGATATACCAGTCTGTGATGATGCTTCGTCTCCCCTTATAGATTGTTATTTCCTAAAAGTCAAGATCAATTTAATCAACTGCTTTGGCTTGGATCAAGAAGCTCTGATTCAACAACAAACAGTTTTCGAACAGCTGAGATTGTCAGGTGAAGAAGTGCCTTCATATTTTACTTACCGTACTACCGAACCCTCGTTGACTATCCCTCTACATCATACCTCTCCCTCACAACAATTCTTCAAGTTTAAGGTTTGCATCGTGATCGAATGTGGTTTTCTTCCCATATGTCATTCTCCATTGGAAATCAAGGTATGTTGTCTGTTCAGAGACATGCTAGGGAACCACTTTGATTCTGTTGAATTGTTACAGCTCTTCCATCAGTCGGAAACTAAGTTGGATAGTCATATCTTTATAGCCGACTTATGTTTTCTTCTAAACAAAGAAAATGCTTGTCTAGCTGATCAACTCAACTATGATCATGTCGATATACAACTTCCCGTGATTTTCAGTAACACATGGGTTATAATAAAAGAATGGGGTGTATGTCTCTTCGAGGACTGTTCATCACTTGAGAACAGACTAGATATTTGTGAAGACAATGAAGATAATAGCTTTAATGTGACTAAACAAGGTGAAGAACGTCGAGGTAGCGGTGTAGGGACAGAGAGAAGCAGTAAATGAATACGGGTAAGCACGCATATTGAGTTTGAACTAAACAAAACTACTATAAATCTCATATTTTATGTTCTTGATTGTGTCTTTGTTGTTATTGCTACAGAGTATATGAAGAAGCAACTGGTTTGCCCGGCCTCCAAACTCGAGAGAAGCATGTCACTTTGACCAACTGAATATAGTCTTTTCCGATTCTGATGGAACAACAAGCTACAAGAGCATGGAACAACAACAAGTATGTATAGTTTATCTATCTTGATGAAACTTTATGGATTCATATGTTAGCTATCTTGTGACCAACCCATTGTTCTTTCTTACTGGTGTGTTAATTTAAGTGTTTGAACTTGTGAGAGAATCATAATCAATATCACAATATGTGAATTTTGAAACTTTTACTTATAGTAACTCCAACTCAATGTTCTACCATGTCTAACTCAGTATGCTAATCTACTGTTTTAAAAATCTAATTCAGTTTATTTACTTACAAAAAAATCCGAATTAAGATAACTTTTTGTTGATCGATATGTATGCAAAATTTGAGGTTAGTACACACTAGCATTAAATTATAAAATTTTGAATAATTAATTTATAGTTAAAAAGATGTTAGTATAATAATTAATTAATGTTGAGAATTTTCAAGAAATACATTTTTTTGGTGTACTTTTTTAAAAATACCCTTTTTATTATCCAATTTAAACGTATCCCTGTTTAAATATGAAAAATTATAAAGTTTTATATAGTTTATGAGGTACTTTTATATAATAACTATTACTATGAAATTCTATACAAATACTTTATAATGTTGTGAAAAGTTTTAAATCGGTTTTATAGATGTTACATATATAGTTTTGAATAAGGTCTTTTAAAAATGAAAATTCGAAAATAGTTATATCAATTTTATAAGTACATAATGTTTTTGGGGATTAGAACATTTACAAAACAGAAAACGCATGTGTTTGGGAAAGAAAGAACAAACTTGGGGCCACAATGCCATGAGACAATCAACAAGACACAGAAGAGCAGGCGTGTATTGTGTTTTAATTATTCCTGATGAAGTATTTTTATTCAATATTCCAACTTGTAAAAACATTTTAATACTTTTATTTCCATATTCTCATTAAGCTTAACTTTGAGTAACTAATACTTCTCTCATTTCTTGCTTTATTAAGTAGATAACTTTGAGTTGCTAACACTTTACTCTATATTTGGTAATTTGCATTATTGTGGGCATTGCAAGCATTGTTGAGTTGAGTACTACTGACCAAAAATATGGTTGTCAGCATTTGGCGACATTGCAAGCTATTCATAGGCCGCACTTCGCAAAACGAGTTCAAGAAAAAATAGCTTCTCGAAAAAGTTGTTTAAACTAAAAATAATTTATTTAGTATATATGTACAAATAAAAATATATTTATCTAACTGTTACAATTAATGTAATTTATTTTCTTTCCGCGTTCGTGTATTTTTCAACTGTTTTTGTTCACAGTTTAATGTAATCCGCGAACAATCCGTCCAGTTCTAATTCGTTCTATAATCAATAATGTGATGAAAATTAAATAATGATTAATATTAATTGTCAGCAAAAGATAAAGAAAAAAGTAATCAGATTTTTCTTCAATTGATAGACTAATATAGAACTCAAAAGTTACTTAACCTGCATAATATATAACTCAAAAGTTACTTACAACATTAGAATTAGTAAACTTAATTTTTTTTTTCTTAAAAAAAGCATATTGAAAATTTGAAAGTTAAATTTACATTGGTGTTCAAAAAAAAAAACATAAAGTAAATTTTACAAAATAGTGGAACTTGAAAATGATTGGTTTAAGGAAAAATGGTCCCCAAGATAAAAAAAAGGGAAACAAGAAAAGCAGAGAAGTAATCAGAAAACAAAAGCCTGAGAAGAAAGTAATAATAATATGTCTGAGAACAAGAGCATATTCTTGAAAGGCATGCCTGTTCCTTGTCTCCTCCACTCCTTCATCTTCATCTCCCTTCTCTATCTGTCTTTTCATTTTCATTTCTTCTTCTTTCTGTTCGCCACCTTCACGAATCTTGAAAAAGTTTCAAGTATAAAGGTTCCATCAAAGGAAGAAGAAAAATTAAAGAAACAGAGCAAAAAGAGAACACAATGGAGATGAAGAGAGACATTAGAGTGGAGAAGAAGGAAGACAACATGTGTACTTCTTTGTTGACTGCTGTTGTTGTTCTCTTCATGGCTTGTCTTAAACATTTCTCTTCTGTATCGTATTTGATAGAGCAATGGCGTTCTTTGGTGTTTCTTTTACTCAATGTTGTTCTCTTGGCTGTTTACTTTACCTCTAATCGTCCTGGTGAGAGTACTCATGGTTTCAAGACTCGTAGAGGAGGAGGTAGATTGAGAATGGTGAGAGGGAAGAAGAAAAAGACAAGGGTTGTGGAGGAACCAGCTTGTTCTGACCAAGTAGTTGTTGAGCCAAGAGAAGTGATCAAGAAGTGTGTTTTAGTGGAGGAGACGAAAAGGGTTTGTCCTGAAATCGAGGAAACTGTGAAAGATTGCTTGTTTCGCAAGAAAGAAGTAGACTTTGTTGGAGATGAAGATGAATTCGAGCCAGGGAGGTTATCGAATGAAGAATTGAACGAGAGAGTTGAGGCGTTTATCACGACGTTTAGAAAACATTTGGTGCTTGATGCGCGAAGAGGTAGAGTAGGAGAAACTGACCAGAAGATGAGATCAAAAGACTCTGACATTAGGTTTTTAGGTCAGGAGGTCACTTGTTCGGTTTAAAAGTTTCTGTACGATTTTTTCTTCTTCTTCTTCTTAAGATTCATTTCAGTTTTGTTCGCTCTTTGGCTTTGCTTCTTTTTTGTGGGTTTGAGCTAATTAAACAGCTCAAAAGATCGCATCTTTTATTTTTGATGTAATGTCATAAGAACACAACACTATTCAAAACCTCGTACATAAGAACCAAAAAAGTGAAAAGAGACTAATCCTTTTTGTAGCTCAGAAAATTAAAGCTTCTTATATATACTACACAGTAATGTATGAAAATGTCAAAAACGGAACTCTGAAGTAGCTAGCTTGGATAGATTGAAACTTTGACTTTAGAGTCAACTTGTCTGTCAAGAAACCTTAGTTTGTGGTAAAATAGGTTTTCTTATTTGATCGTAATGTACATACTTTGTCTTATATACAAGCTAACATATGTGTGATCTCAAACCTAATTACAATAACAATATCGAGGCGCATATGGTCCAATATTGTCCAATATTGTCCAATATGAAAGTTAGATGAAAAACACAAATAGGCTAGATTTGTGTTTTGAGATTTGGGAAATGGACATAAGATGTTTTGAAACAATATTTTTATTTTATTTACTGTCTACTTATACTGATTATGAGAAACATGTTTTGCAATCATCATCAAAAGTTAATTTTTAGATTAATGAAGATTATGGATCAAAACACTAAGTTTATTTAGAGATAATATAATTTTATCAAATTGCCATATCAACAAGGTATTATTATTCTAATTGTAGTGATCAGTGATCTTATAAAGACAGCTAAAGTCAATGATACATTGATTACATGTCTGATATCTATATATTTTTTAAATGATCAAGATGGCCTTCAATCTACGAACGTGATACATGAATACGATACTATAGATTTGTCGACCAATCGCATTCAATTGAGTTTGTCTTGTTTTTTTTCCCTAATCAAAATATGGTGAAACATGAGATATGTTAGCCATAATCGTTTAGTGATGCAGGCAAAATCAATTATTTTAGTGTATATATACAACATATTATTTCTAAAATGATTAAACATTTGAAATGGTATACCAAAAACATGTCATTAATATAAAATCCCAATGGTCTCTCTCTCTTTCTAAGATTTGCTATATAACATGACTGAGGAGAAAGACGTGTATAACAAATTATATCACACGAGACAATCAAGAAAATAAAGATTAGTATATATTAACAAAGTTATGGCTCCCCTCATTAATGTGTTGTGCTTAAAGAAAGGACTTTGAGTGCTGTCGTTCCCCTAAAGTCAAGGTGTTGTTTCTTAGTCTTTCTTCTCCGAAACATAAACTGAAGAAGTAGCAGAAGGAGAGGAGGAAGAAGATGAAGTGTTTTCGAAACATTAGATCGATATTTAACCACGCGGACGGTGTGGATTTAGTGCTGATGGGACTAGGTTTACTTGGAGCTATTGGTGATGGCTTTGTCACTCCTATAATATTTTTCATTACAGGCTTGTTACTGAATGACATTGGAGCCGTAGGTGATGATTCTTCATTCAGTGATGAAACCTTCATGCATGCCATCATTAAGGTCAATTTTTTTCTCTCCTCTTTACATTATTTTCTCGGTCTTTTTGGTCTTAGCAAGAATGTGTATCACCAATATGTGTTAACATATGTATGTTTATCTATATATGGTAGGAGTTATGATAAACATACATATGTAAACAAATCTAATGTATAAGAGATATATGGATCATTCTATTTCATTCATTGCTAATTTGTTTTAAGAATCTTGTAAGGATGTAAACATATGGTTCTTTATACTTTTATCATAAGAGAGTACTAATGTATATATCTTCTTTTTCTTGGTACACGTTGGGTAATTAACAGAATGCTGTAGCTTTGCTTTATGTCGCTGGTGCATCTTGGGTGATATGTTTCGTTGGTAAGTCTTTTAGATATTGTTTCATATCTATATTTTTAGCTGAAAGGAAAGAGAAATAAAATAGTTTTATATTTTCTAAATACAAACAAAACAGAAGGATATTGCTGGACAAGGACAGGAGAAAGACAAGCATCAAGAATGAGAGAGAAGTACTTAAGAGCGGTGTTAAGACAAGATGTGAGTTACTTTGATCTTCATGTTACAAGCACTTCTGATGTTATCACTAGTGTCTCTAGTGACACCCTTGTCATCCAAGACGTTCTAAGTGAAAAGGTCTACACTTTATATCTCTATATGTTCATTATTGTTGCTATTTGTTATTATAGTAAAATTGTCTTACTAATAAAATATTTTTTTAATTTCAAACAGTTACCAAATTTTTTGATGAATGCATCGGCATTTGTTGCAAGCTACATTGTTGGTTTCATCATGCTGTGGAGACTTACAATCATTGGCTTCCCGTTCATTGTCTTCCTCTTGATTCCCGGGCTGATGTGCGGGCGAGCACTCGTCAGCATCTCAAGAAAAATACGTCAAGAGTATAGTGAGGCTGGTTCAATCGCTGAGCAAGCTATCTCGTTGGTGCGAACCGTCTATGCATTTGGTAGTGAGAAGAAAATGGTATCAAAATTCTCAGCTGCGCTTCAAGGCTCAGTGAACCTAGGGGTGAGACAAGGACTAGCTAAAGGACTTGCCATTGGGAGCAATGGTATCAGTTATGCAATATGGGGGTTCATGACTTGGTATGGAAGTCGGATGGTTATGTACCATGGCGCTAAAGGCGGTACTATCTTTGCAGTCATCATTTGTATCACCTATGGTGGCACGTAAGTATTCATGTCTAAGGCTCTTTGATTATCTTATTGTAGTTTTTGATCTTTGGTATCTTATAATTTTGGGTAGATCACTCGGTCGAGGTTTGTCGAATCTCAAAGATTTCTCAGAGGCGGTTGTAGCGGGGGAAAGGATTGTCAAAGTGATTAAAAGAGTTCCCTATATTGATTCAGACAATCCTAAAGGTCAAATTCTTGAGAATATTAAAGGAGAAGTCCAATTCAAGAATGTGAAGTTCATGTATCCGTCTAGACCTGAGACCCCAATCTTTGATGATTTATGTCTAAGAATTCCACCAGGAAAAACTATTGCTCTGGTCGGTGGAAGTGGTTCAGGAAAATCTACTGTGATATCACTATTACAAAGATTCTATGATCCGGTGGCTGGAGAGATTCTTATTGATGGTGTGTCCATTAACAAGTTGCAAGTAAAATGGTTGAGATCACAAATGGGTCTTGTTAGCCAAGAGCCAACACTTTTCGCCACATCTATAGAGGAAAACATATTATTTGGTAAAGAGGATGCATCGATGGATGAAGTAGTCGAAGCTGCAAAGTCCTCAAATGCTCATGATTTCATATCTCAGTTTCCTCTTGGTTACAAAACTCAGGTTCGATTCCAATTTTAGAAAGATATTTGATTATTTGTTTTTTTTTTTTGGATCAAGATTTATATATGTTTTTTTTACACAAAAAGGTTGGGGAGAAAGGAGTGCAAATGTCAGGAGGTCAGAAGCAAAGAATTGCAATTGCGCGTGCGATAATCAAATCGCCAAAACTTCTCCTACTAGACGAGGCAACAAGCGCATTAGACTCAGAATCCGAAAGAGTAGTCCAAGAAGCCTTAGACAATGCTTCTATTGGTCGTACAACTATTGTTATTGCCCACCGCCTCTCTACTATTCGTAACGTTGATGTTATATGTGTATTCCACAATGGTCGCATTGTAGAAACTGGATCACACGAAGACCTCATGAGGAACTTAGACGGTCAGTATTCTTCTCTAGTTCGCTTACAAATAATGGAAACTGAAGAATCAGATGATAACATTAATGTAAGTATGGGGGATGGTGAGTTCTCGATTTTAAGTAAAGATGTGAAGTATAGTCCAAGGGCTTCTATTCAAAGCCATTCTAATTTGTTCACAACTTCAAGCATTGATACAAATGTTCGTGGTTCGATTCCAACGAATAAGAAGCTGCATGTGCCATCTTTTAAGAGATTGATGGCGATGAATAAACCAGAGTGGAAACATACATCATATGGTTGCTTAAGTGCAGTCTTATATGGCGCCTTACACCCGATTTACGCATATGCTTCAGGATCAATGGTGTCAGTGTATTTTCTAACGAGTCATGATGAAATGAAGGAGAAAACAAGGATCTACGTGCTGCTTTTTGTTTGTCTAGCTGTTTTTTGTTTCTTGACTAGTATCATTCAACATTATAGTTTTGCTTACATGGGTGAATACTTAACGAAACGTATCCGAGAAAATATTCTCTCAAAGCTATTGACCTTTGAAGTAAGCTGGTTTGATGAAGACGAGAACTCGAGTGGTGCAATTTGCTCTAGACTAGCCAAAGACGCAAACGTGGTATGTCTTATCTCATACTTATATAAACTCTACAAAACAATTTTTTTAGAAGTTAATTTATAACTTTTTGTTACGACAGGTGAGATCTATTGTTGGTGAACGAGTATCATTGTTGGTACAAACTATATCAGCAGTGAGCATAGCTTGCACAATTGGTTTGGTCATTTCTTGGAAATTAGCCATTGTAATGATTGCGATACAGCCCGTGGTTGTCGCGTGCTTCTACACTCAACGCATTGTACTCAAAAGCATATCTAAAAAAGCAATTAAAGCACAAGAAGAGAGTAGCAAACTAGCTGCGGAAGCCGTCTCCAACATCCGAACCATCACAGCTTTCTCGTCTCAAGAACGGATCCTAAAATTACTCAAAAAGGTTCAAGAAGCCCCCAAGAGAGAAAACATCCGCCAATCATGGTTAGCAGGGGTTGTCCTTGCAACTTCAAGAAGCCTCATGACGTGCACATCAGTTCTAAATTACTGGTACGGTGGTAAGCTAATTGCTAATGGACAGATCATGTCAAAAGCATTCTTTGAGCTGTTTATACTCTTTGTGAGTACTGGTCGAGTTATCGCGGACGCTGGAGTCATGACAACAGATTTAGCCAAAGGCTCGGATGCGGTTGCATCAGTCTTCAGAGTGTTAGATCGCTACACAAAAATTGACCCGGAGAACCATGAAGGATTTGTCCCACAAAAGATAAAGGGACAAATCAGATTTTCTAATGTGGACTTCGCGTACCCAACACGACCAGATGTGATTATATTCAAGAACTTCTCTATTGACATCAATGAGGGAAAGTCCACTGCCATTTTGGGTCCAAGCGGGTCAGGTAAGTCCACAGTAATTGGCTTGATCGAACGGTTCTATGACCCGTTAAAAGGTAGTGTAGAAATCGATGGCCGAGATATAAGGTCATATCATTTGAGATCACTTCGTAAACATATAGCTTTGGTCAGCCAAGAGCCAACTTTGTTCCTTGGGACTATCCGAGAGAACATCATGTACGGAGGAGCATCTGAAAATATCGATGAGTCAGAGATCATCGAGGCCGCGAAAGCAGCCAACGCTCACGATTTCATTACATCGCTATCGAACGGTTATGACACATACTGCGGGGACAGAGGAGTACAATTGTCTGGTGGTCAGAAGCAGAGGATAGCAATTGCTCGTGCGGTTTTAAAGAACCCATCAGTGTTGTTACTTGATGAAGCTACGAGTGCTCTAGACAGCCAAGCTGAGCGCATGGTACAAAACGCACTCGAACGTTTAATGGTTGGGAGGACAAGTGTTGTGATCGCACATAGACTTAGTACAATTCAGAACTGTGATATGATAACTGTTTTAGACAAAGGGAAAGTTGTGGAATGTGGAACACACTCTTTCTTGTTAGGAAAAGGTCCCATGGGAACATATTTCTCAATGGTCAGTCGCCAAAGAACTCATTGTTGAAGCATATATATATTTTTAAAAATATGAAATTTCATTTATTATAAGTATATTAAAATCCCAATTTATTATGTTAGGGAGAGAAGTTAGTGATGTCGATAAAATGGATATTTTGAGAACTGACCCATTTATTTTTACAATTTTGGAAAATCATTTATATTTTGGTTTAGTTTGGTAAGTTAGTTTATTCACGTACCACCCGAAAAATAAGGTTTGTGTCTGCATGAAGCATGTGCTAGTTCAATTCTCTATTACTAGATATTGTCCACTGACCACCATTTATTTGATGTCGATGATAGTAAAATCCAAAAAAGTTAGATGTATTAAACGTTCAAAACATTTTGGAGTTTTCACCTAAAAACTTAGATAGATACAAAACATTTACAAAATAAAAACAAAAAGAAAACCTCAATTGATATAACTTATTTTAAATCCAAATTTATGGATGAAAAAAGGCTGCATGTATGTACATGTATTGACCTAATATTTAGTTTAATATAGTTGTTTGCCTAACTTTGCCTTAAAATATTGTTTAATTCCATTTAATGCTAAAAAACCTAATTCTAACGAAAAGTGTAGCTCATAATCTAGCTCATGTTCATTAAACTCGCTCATATAACTCGCTATCTAAATTAAATTCGATCATATAACTCATTTATTTAATGATCCTAAAAAATAGAGCTCGCGCTCATACAAAACCGAGTTGAGCTGAGCTGAGCTAGCTCGCGAGCTAACAACTCATTTTGACACCCATAGAGATAACCAATGCCCATTTAGACGTTTTATAAAACTGCAGTGAGAAATTTGATATATCAACCGTTGTGTTACTTGACCTCAAAATTTAAAAGAAAACCATATCCAAGGTAATGTAAAATTTGATATAAACCGGTTTTCGTGGTCTAAATCATAAAAGAAGAAAGCATGTGATTCTTATTATTTGTTCATTAAAACTTGGCTCTGATAACATAGCAAATTAGACTCAAGGTTTCAATGTTTGTTGATCTTATTGATAAAAAACCTCTAGGCCGAAGTATTTATACATGTTTACAAGGTATAGATGAATCTAAAGAGATACTAAAGATAGATAGATATATGTACGAGATATAGATTAATATTTAAAACATGTTTTTCTTGGTCTAAATTATTAAAAAAAATACAAGCATGTAATTCTTTTTATTTTTTTGTTCATTATTATTTAAAGACCAACGGTTCTGTCTTTGTCTCCCGGTTTTATATTATTGAACAATGCAACTTGCTCTGTTAATAGTTAATGAAACGAAGACTTTGTTTGCTCTCTTGTTTCCTTAAAGTCAAGTTTTAGATTTTCTTTTCAGAAAATAAAAACAAAGGAGAGGAAGAAGAAGATGATGAAGAGCTGTCGAAGCATATTCATGCATGCGGATGGTGTGGATTTAGTGCTGATGGGATTAGGTTTAATCGGAGCCATAGCTGATGGCTTCATCACTCCTATCACATTTTTCATTACAGGCTTGCTACTGAACAACATCGGTGGTTCCAAAGTCGGTGATGAAAAATTCATGCATGCCATCATGAAGGTCTTTCCTGACTTCTTTACTCTATGTTCTATGCTTTTGGTCTCAGTTCTTAGTGTAAGAACGAGCTATGATATGTGTTATGGATTATTCTAGTTCTCGGTTCATTGCTAATTGGTTTTGAGATAAAAGTGCGAGGACTTAAATAAATGACTCTTGAGAGTTGAGAGTTAAGACTATATAGATAAACATACAATTTTCTTTAAGAATTGAGAGTTAAGAGTTAAGAGTATAGATAAACGCGCCATTCAACCGGTGTCTAAGCGTTTTAGCATTAGTTTCCTAAGCTTCCTCTTCTAAACATTTAAATTTCTAAGAATCGTTGCACTTGATGTAAAAACGTTTCCATTTTTTTCTTGAATATAATTTAACATTAAATTCAAAAAAAAAAAAAAAACATACAATTTTGTTTATAAAATACATATTTATTAATTATGATTATAAGAAATGATTACTACTAATGTATCTTATGGTTTGGGTAATTAACAGAACGCTGTAGCTTTACTTTATGTCGCTGGTGCATCTTTGGTGATATGTTTCGTTGGTAAGTCTTTTAGATAATGTTTTAACTCTTTCCCTTTTGTAAGAGAAATTAAAACAAACCAAACTAATTATTTTTGATGCATTTCAACATAATAAATTACAAACAAAACAGAAGGATATTGCTGGACAAGGACAGGGGAGAGGCAAGCATCAAGAATGAGAGAGAGGTACTTAAGAGCAGTGTTAAGACAAGATGTTGGTTACTTTGATCTTCATGTCACAAGCACTTCTGATGTTATCACTAGTGTCTCTAGTGACACTCTTGTCATCCAAGACGTCCTTAGTGAAAAGGTTTAACCTATATATCTATATTTACAATCATAATTGTTGTTTCGTGTAGTGAAAAGGTCTCACAAGTGAAATTTGTTTATTTATTTCAAACAGTTACCAAACTTTTTGATGAATGCATCGGCATTTGTCGCAAGCTACATCGTGGGATTCTTCATGTTGTGGAGACTCGCAATCGTAGGCTTCCCGTTCTTTATCCTCCTCTTGATCCCCGGACTGATGTGTGGAAGAGTCCTTATCAGCATCTCAAGAAAAATACGCGAAGAGTACAATGTGGCTGGTTCTATTGCCGAGCAAGCCATCTCGTTGGTGCGAACCGTCTATGCATTTGGTAGTGAGAAGAAGATGATATCGAAATTCTCAGCTGCACTTCAAGGCTTGGTGAAGCTAGGACTAAGACAAGGACTAGCTAAAGGAATTGCCATTGGGAGCAATGGTATTGTTTTCGCCATTTGGGGGTTCATGACTTGGTACGGAAGTCGAATGGTTATGTACCACGGCGCCAAAGGCGGTACTATCTTCGCAGTCATCATATGCATCACCTTTGGTGGCACGTAAGTATAGATGTCTAACGCTCTTTGATTTTCTTATTGTAGTTTTGATCTTTATTATCTTGTATGTTTCAGATCGTTTGGTCGAGGTTTGTCGAATCTCAAATATCTCTCAGAGGCGGTTGTAGCGGGGGAAAAGATTATCAAAGTGATTAAAAGAGTTCCCAATATTGATTCGGACAACACGGATGGTAAAATTTTACAAAATGTAAAAGGAGAAGTTGAATTTAAGCATGTTAAATTCATGTACCCGTCTAGACCTGAAACCTCAATCTTTGATGATTTTTGTTTGAAAATTCCAAGTGGGAAAACTGTGGCTTTGGTGGGTGCAAGCGGATCGGGAAAATCATCTGTGATATCTCTTTTGCAAAGGTTCTATGATCCCATCGGGGGAGATATTCTCATTGATGGTGTGTCCATTAGTAAGTTGCAAGTTAAATGGTTGAGATCACAAATGGGTCTTGTTAGCCAAGAGCCAGCGCTCTTTGCTACATCGATAGAAGAGAACATACTATTTGGTAAAGAGGATGCATCCATGGATGAAGTAGTGGAAGCTGCAAAGTCTTCAAATGCTCATGATTTCATTTCTCATTTTCCTTTTGGTTACAAAACTCAGGTTAGAAAGATACTAATTATGTAATTATTTTTGTTGTATCAACATGTAAATTTATGTTTTCTTTCCTTTACACAACAAGGTTGGAGAGAGAGGAGTGCAAATGTCAGGGGGTCAGAAACAGAGAATTGCGATTGCACGTGCGATAATCAAGTCACCAACAATTCTCCTGTTAGACGAGGCAACAAGCGCATTAGACTCAAAATCCGAAAGAGTAGTCCAAGAAGCCTTAGACAATGCCTCTATTGGTCGTACAACTATTGTTATTACCCACCGCCTCTCTACTATTCGTAATGTCGATGTTATATGTGTATTCCACAACGGTCGCATTGTAGAAAGTGGATCACATGAAGACCTCATGGAGAACTTAGAAGGTCAATATTCTTCTCTAGTCCGCTTACAGTTGATAGAAAATGAAGAATTGGATGATAACAATAAAGTAAGTTTGCAAAGGGATCAACTCTCAATTTCGAGCAAAGATTTGAAGTACAGTCCAAGAATTTCTAATCAAAACTTGTCAAACTTGTTCATGAGTTCAAGCACCGATACAAATCTTTGTGCTTCGATCCCAAAGGATAAGAAGACGCTTGTACCATCGTTTAAGAGATTGATGGCGATGAATAAACCAGAGTGGAAACATGCACTGTATGGTTGCTTAAGTGCAGCTCTATATGGGGCCATACAACCAACATATTCTTATGTTTCAGGATCAATGGTGTCAGTGTACTTTCTAAAGAGCCATGATGAGATCAAGGAAAATACAAGGATCTATGTGTTGCTCTTCTTTGGTCTATCTATGTTCAGTTTTGTGATAAGTATCATTCAACATTATAGTTTTGCTTACATGGGTGAATACCTAACAAAACGTATCCGAGAAAATATTCTTTCAAAGCTATTGACCTTTGAAGTAAGCTGGTTCGATGAAGAAGAGAACTCGAGTGGTGTAATTTGCTCTAGACTAGCAAAAGATGCGAACGTGGTATGTTTCCTGCTCTATAAATTCAAACTTATGAAATATTTTTTTTCCAATAATCTTATAAATTTTGATATAATAGGTGAGATCACTTGTTGGTGAACGAGTGTCATTGTTGGTACAAACTATATCAGCAGTGAGTATAGCTTGCACACTTGGTATGGTCATTGCATGGAAATTCGCCATTGTGATGATCGCGGTACAGCCAGTGGTTGTTTTGTGCTTCTACGGCCAACGTATTGTACTCAAAAGCTTATCCATAAAAGCTATTGAAGCTCAAGACGAGAGCAGCAAACTAGCTGCGGAAGCTGTCTCCAATATCCGAACCATCACAGCTTTTTCATCACAAGAACGAATATTAAAATTACTCGAAAGAGTTCAAGACGGTCCACGGAGAGAAAACATCCGGCAATCATGGTTAGCTGGGATTGTACTTGGAACGTCGCGATGCCTCATGACTAGCATTTCAGTTTTGAATTTCTGGTATGGGAGTAGACTTATAGCTGATGGGAAGATAACGTCAAAAGCATTCTTTGAGTTGTTTATAGTATTTGTTAGTACTGGTCGTGTTATTGCAGAAGCTGGGGCCATGACTACGGATCTAGCCAAGGGCTCGGATGCAGTTGCCTCGGTTTTCGCAGTATTGGATCGCTGCACAACAATTGAGCCCGAGAACCCGGATGGATCCCAACCGGAAAATATCAAGGGACAAATCAGTTTTGTCAATGTGGACTTCGCTTACCCAACACGACCAGATGTAATGATACTCAAGAACATTTCCATGGAGATTAACGAGGGGAAGTCTACAGCGATAGTCGGTCCAAGCGGGTCTGGTAAATCCACAATAATTGGCCTAATCGAGCGGTTCTACGACCCGTTAAAGGGTAGTGTAAAAATAGATGGTCGCGACATAAGATCGTATAATCTAAGATTGCTTCGTCAACACATAGCTTTGGTTAGTCAAGAGCCAGTATTGTTTGCTGGAACGATCCGAGAGAACATAATTTTTGGAGGAACATCAGACAAGATCGACGAGACTGAGGTTATCGAGGCGGCAAAGGCAGCGAACGCTCATTCTTTCATCTTATCATTATCGAACGGCTACGAGACGTATTGTGGAGATAGAGGTATACAATTGTCAGGTGGTCAAAAACAGAGAATAGCTATCGCTCGAGCGGTTCTAAAGAACCCATCAGTGTTGCTTCTTGATGAAGCTACGAGCGCTCTAGACAACCAATCAGAGCGTATTGTGCAGGACGCACTCGAGCGTTTGATGGTTGGGAGGACAAGCGTTGTGATCGCACATAGACTTAGTACGATTCAAAAGTGTGACATGATAAGTGTTTTAGACAAAGGGGAAGTTGTGGAGTGTGGAACACATGCTTCCTTAATTGGAAAAGGTTCCACAGGGATATATTTCTCATTGGTTAGTCGCCAGACAACTCAGTTTGTTTCGTAACGTTGAATGATACTTAATAATACACAAAATCTATATATTAAGACAAAGGAAAATAATATATATAGTGATGTTGTGGTTCTTGCATATATATATATATATATAAAAAAATATAAAGTATTTGTCGAACAACTTGGGATGATTATAAAGAAAAATAAATCATTGTATAAGATTATGAGTTGTGCAAACCCACGAACATAATAACTAGCATTGGGATAGCAACAGGAAACCAAAAAAAAAGGAAAAAAGAAAAGACCAAAACCAAAATAAGAAAGACCAAATAAAATTAATGCATGTGCGAATCTTTTATTTTTATAAATGAATGACTGAATATAGTTGACCATAGAATTTCAAAGATTTTAACAGGATTATGTATTAAAATCATTGTAATTAGATAAGTAAACTATGGACAAGCACACAATACCTTTTTTTTTTTTTGGTAACAAGCACACAATACTTTATTATATAAAATTTTATGATATATTTTGAACTTATTTTAACTGAATAATTATTTAAAAAATGCTAGTAAGGATGTTATGTGAATTTAAATGACTTATTTGTTGTTTCACGAACCTAAACTATTAATGTGGAATCTAGAATATTATGATGGACGTATAGAAACGTTTATTTCCCACTCAATATGCTTAGAACTGGCAAAATATACGCTCGTTTTTTTTTTAAGATGTGTAAGACCATCCTCATTGGGGGTATCTTAGCAGGCTAAGATACCCCTACTTTTTCAAAGAAACTATGTTATATAAGGATTTTTTTTGGAAAAATGGGGGTATCTTAGCCTCATAAGATACCCCCAATGAGGATGCCCTAATTGTGTAAGTTATTAAATAAATAAAAAATGTTATTAAATCAAAAGTCATATATAGAAACATTAATCACTGTATATATATATATATATATATGATGGTATAAATTTTAAGCACTGTATATGTAATCTACATCTATATATTATTGTCGTTGTAGTGGTCATAAAATATGTATTGATCAGATGTGATTTGATATAAGATCAAAATAAAATCTATATTGATATAAGACTATAACTAAGCTATTTTGATGTTATGTAATAATACAGCTAAAGTCAATGGTATATTCATGACATATTGGGTTAAGATGTACCGTAGTATATTTTTCAAATACTTATATTCGTCGTTTTTTTATTAATTGTATTAATTGTATGACTACTGAGTTAGTAATGGTCTTTAAATAATCTATAATGCGTTCCATAAATTAAATAGCTTTCTCTTTACTAACAACAACACTAGATCATTATCCGTGATACAACACAAAATATATATTATTTTACGTAATTTTTTTATATATTTTTTTGTATTTTAGAATTTTGATATAGGTTATCTTAGTTTTATTAATTTTTCTATCCCTTTGTTTTACCAAATAACATAAGTTATGTATTATGTTACATAATACTAACATTAATAAATCTTTTGCTCCTCAAGAAAAGGAGAGAACACCGCAAGCTGTCGTTTTGGTCTTCTCTCTGAACAAGAACGAAGAAGAGAGGTTGGAGGAAGAACAAGATGAAGATAAAGAGTTGGGGAAGCATAAAATCGATATTTATGCAAGCGGACGGTGTAGATTTGATGTTGATGGCATTAGGCTTAATCGGAGCCGTAGGTGATGGCTTCATTACTCCTATGATATTTTTCATATGCAGCAAACTACTCAACGACTTTGGTGGCTTCTCTTTCAATGATGAGACTTTCATACAAGCCATCTCCAAGGTCTTTTCTCTCTGTCTCTTTTCTTTTTGTCTTTAACAAAGATGTAATACTTATCTTATGACCATACATAAAAAGAGATCTTAGCTATTACATTTTGCTAGTAGCATGCGTACCATGACAGTTTGAGAAGATTATGGAAAGAGAACTAATGTATTTTCTGTTGGGAACATAATGCAATAGCTTTGCTTTATGTGGCTTGTGCATCATTGGTCATATGTTTCCTTGGTAAAGTCTTTATGGACTATGTTTCTATTTTTTCTAATAGTTTGATGCATTTTAATGTAACTAATCATTGTTTTAATAATTATAAACAAAACAGAAGGATATTGCTGGACAAGAACAGGGGAGAGACAAGCCGCAAAAATGAGAGAGAAGTATTTAATAGCGGTGTTAAGACAAGATGTGGGTTACTTTGATCTTAATGTCACAAGCACTTCTGATGCTGTCACTAGTGTCTCTAGTGACAGCCTCGTCATTCAAGACTTCATTAGTGAAAAGGTTGTCTTAATTACTTTCTATCTTGATCTATATCATTTTTAAACCATGCTTCTTGTTTTTAAACCGGTGATTTTTGAATTCAAGCAGTTACCAAACTTTTTGATGAATGTATATGCGTTTGTCGGAAGCTACATAGTGGGTTTTGTCTTATTGTGGAGACTCACAATAGTAGGCTTCCCATTTATCGTCCTCCTTTTGATCCCTGGACTGATGTATGGACGAGCTCTCATAAACATCTCGAGGAAGATACGTGAAGAGTACAATGTGGCTGGTTCTATAGCTGAGCAGGCCATTGCGTCGGTTCGGACCGTCTACGCATTTAGTAGTGAAAAGAAGATGATAGAAAATTTCTCAAATGCACTTCAAGGGTCGGTGAAGCTAGGGTTGAGACAAGGGCTAGCTAAAGGAATTGCCATTGGGAGCAATGGTATCACTTATGCTATTTGGGGGTTCATGACTTGGTACGGAAGTCGCCTGGTTATGAAACATGGTTCGAAAGGTGGTACTGTCTCCACGGTCATTGTTTGTGTCACTTTTGGCGGCACGTAAGTAACTATGTTTAAATGCTCTTGGGTTTTGCTGACACATAACAAACCATCTTGTAGTCTTGATATTTGGTGTCTTACATTTTTCAGATCACTTGGTCAAAGTTTGTCGAATCTCAAATATTTCTCGGAGGCGTTTGTAGCAGCGGAAAGAATGATCAAATTGATAAAAAGAGTTCCCGATATAGACTCAAACAACTTGGAAGGTCAAATTTTGGAGAAAACTCGAGGAGAAGTCGAATTCAACCACGTGAAGTTCACCTACCCGTCTAGACCCTTAACCACAATCTTTGATGACTTTTGTCTAAGAGTTCCATCCGGGAAAACTGTCGCTCTGGTAGGCGGAAGCGGATCGGGAAAATCAACTGTGATATCACTTTTACAAAGGTTCTATGACCCGATAGCCGGAGAGATTCTCATTGATGGTATGCCCATTCATAAGTTGCAAGTGAAGTGGTTGAGATCACAAATGGGTCTAGTTAGCCAAGAACCAGTGCTTTTCGCCACATCGATAACCGAGAACATATTATTTGGTAAAGAGGATGCATCCATGGATGAGGTAGTAGAAGCTGCAAAAGCTTCAAATGCTCATAATTTCATATCTCAGTTCCCTAACAGTTACAAAACTCAGGTTATATCCCATTTTAATTTTTAAAAGTATCTTATTATAGCTTTTAATTTTAGTCTGACGTTATAGACGAACATATATTTGGTCTTTGGGTTTATAAAGGTTGGGGAAAGAGGAGTACAATTATCTGGAGGCCAGAAGCAGAGGATTGCAATTGCACGAGCAATAATTAAGTCACCAATAATTCTCCTTCTAGACGAGGCAACAAGCGCATTGGACTCAGAATCCGAAAGAGTAGTCCAAGAAGCCTTAGAAAACGCCTCGGTTGGCCGTACAACTATCGTGATTGCGCACCGCCTCTCTACCATTCGTAATGCTGATATTATTTGTGTAGTCCAAAATGGTCGCATTACAGAAACTGGATCACATGACGAGCTCTTGGAGAAATTAGATGGTCATTACACTTCTCTAATCCATCTACAACAAATGGAGAATAAAGAATCAGATATTAACATCAATGTAAGTGTGAAAGAGGGCCAACAAAGGAGTTTGGGTAAAGACCTCAAGTACAGTCCAAATGAATATATTCATAGCACTACTAGTTCAAACATTGTTACAGATTTTTCTGATATGACTCCTAAAGATAACAAGTCACGTGTGCCATCATTTAAGAGATTGATGGCAATGAATAGACCAGAGTGGAAACATGCATTATATGGTTGTGTAGGTGCAGCCCTTTTTGGAGCTGTAATACCAATTTACGCATTCTCTACAGGAGCAATGGTAACAGTGTTTTTTCTAACAAGTCATGAGGAGATGAAGGAGAAAACAAGGATCTATGTGTTAGTATTTGTTGGTCTAGCTTTGTGCACTTTCTTGACTAATATCAGTCAGCATTATAATTTCGCTTACATGGGCGAATACTTAACAAAACGTATCCGAGAGCATATGCTCGGGAAGATACTAACGTTTGAAGTCAATTGGTTCGACGAGGATGAGAACTCGAGTGGTGCGGTTTGCTCTAGACTAGCAAATGATGCTAATGTGGTACTTCGTCTACCTTACTAATTTGAAATTTAGTGAACAATGATTTTTCTTTATTCTCTTACTTTTTTTTTTGTTATCAATTTCTTGATTTTTGAATGGTTTGTTATGACAGGTGAGGTCGCTAGTTGGTGATAGGATGTCACTGTTGGTACAAACTATATCGGCAGTGAGTATCACTTGTACAATTGGTTTGGTCATCTCTTGGCGATTCGCCATTGTGATGATTTCGGTGCAACCACTTGTTGTTGTGTGCTTCTACACTCGAAATATCCTGCTTAAGCGCATGTCGAAAATCGCCATCAATGCTCAAGATGAAAGCACTAAACTAGCTTCAGAGGCTGTCTCCAATATTCGAACCATCACAGCTTTCTCTTCACAAGAACGGATCATTGAATTATTTAAAAGGGCTCAAGAAGGTCCACGGAGAGAAAGCGCACGCCAATCATGGTTAGCAGGGATTATGTTGGGGACTTCACAAGGCCTTATAACGTGTGTCTCAGCTTTGAACTTCTGGTATGGTGGGAAACTAGTTGCTGATGGGAAGATGGTGTCAAAAGAATTCTTAGAAATATTTATGATTTTTTCGAGTACTGGTCGGCTTATTGCCGAAGCTGGGACCATGACCAAAGATTTAGCCAAGGGATCAGATGCGGTTGCGTCAGTGTTTGCAGTATTAGATCGATGCACAACCATTGAACCGGAGAACCTAGATGGATACGTCCCAAAAAAGATAAAGGGACAAATAAGATTTCTCAACGTGGACTTCTCTTACCCGACACGGCCTGATGTGACTATATTCAAGAACTTCTCCATTGATATTGATGCGGGTAAGTCAACAGCGATCGTTGGTCCAAGCGGGTCAGGTAAATCTACAATTATTAGCTTGATCGAGCGGTTCTATGACCCGTTGAAGGGTATTGTTAAAATTGATGGTCATGATATAAGGTCATATCATTTGAGATCACTTCGTCGACACATAGCTTTGGTTAGTCAAGAACCAACATTATTTTCCGGGACAATCCGAGAGAACATCATGTACGGTGGAGCATATAACAAGATAAACGAATCAGAGATTATCGAGGCGGCAAAGGCAGCCAATGCTCATGATTTTATCATATCACTATCTGGTGGCTATGACACGTACTGCGGAGACAAGGGAGTGCAATTGTCTGGTGGTCAAAAACAGAGAATCGCGATCGCTCGAGCAGTCCTAAAGAACCCATCAGTGTTGCTCCTTGACGAAGCTACGAGCGCTTTGGACAGCCAATCCGAACGTGTGGTGCAAGATGCACTTGAGCGTTTGATGGTTGGGAGGACAAGTGTTGTGATAGCACATAGGCTTAGCACAATTCAGAACTGTGACATGATCACTGTTTTAGACAAAGGGGAAGTTGTCGAATGTGGAACACACTCCTCTTTGTTGGCCAAAGGTCCCATGGGAGCTTATTTCTCATTAGTTAGTCTCCAAAGAACTCTAGGTTGAAGGTCCGATGTGTATAAGTACATTTGTCTCGCAACCTCTACTTGGTAACCAGAGATACAAAGATACAAGCCAATAGACCAGACCATGTGTCATGACAGTCATGTAATACCAATTTTTCCAGTTAATTGAAACCTAAATATAGAAGTCTAGCTTAAGTTATTGTAATGGTACCTCTGCTTATAAGAATATTTATGAACATTATTGTTACTTCCAAAGAAAAAAGACTTACTCTAAACCAATTTTAAATTCAATTTGTTGGAAGAAATATTATTTTATGTGAAATGGTTTGTTTTATGCACAGTAAAAAATATTGTGAGATATTGTTTAACTGTAAAGATATAAGTTAAATTCTAAAGTGATAGAGCTTACAATATATAATTTGGTTTCTTAAAACTGCTAAATCGCATGATCCAATCCAGTCACCTAACGATTTGTCAAATGCATATGTAAAACAAACGTCAAAATGATTTTTTCTTTTCTTTTCATTATGACGTATTTGATATTTCTATAAGATCTTATACAAAAGTCTCATTATGTTTCATGAATATAAAATTTTAAAAACCGTGACTTGAAATTAAGCATAAGTAGTATTAAGTTAACCCACCATTTGCCGTATACAAATAGTGAATTTAAGAAGTATAAGTATTAAAAGGTTAATCCACCAAAAGAAAGGATTCTTAAGTATTTCTTTGATTATGAAAACTGTTTAGTGGGTTATGTCTTATTTATGAATGTTACCCAGAGGGATCATAAAAAATTCAAGTGAGTTATAAGTTCGATCCAATCTAATATATAGTTTACTTGTAGTGGCACTATATCAATATTGCACTATATCAATATTGATGTAAAAGTATAAAAAGACTTTTGTTATTATATGATCAAATTGGTCTTTAAGTCAATGTTTAGTTTTGGTCCATCTCTAAACAAAAGATAAAATGTGCAAAGAAGATGAAAAGGAGGAGAGTGAGAGGAACAAGATGAAGAGTTTTGGAAGCGTGAGATCGATGTTCATGTACGCGGACAGTGTAGATTGGTTGCTGATGGCATTAGGCTTCATAGGAGCCGTTGGTGATGGCTTCATCACTCCTGTTGTAGTATTTATCTTCAACACACTACTCAATGACCTTAATTCTTCCTCTTCCAATAGTAAAAATTTCATGCAAACCATCTCCAAGGTCTTTGCTCTCTCTCTCTCAATGGTCTTTAATTACTTCTGTTTTTTTTGTTTGTCTCTTTATTTTTCTAAGTAGACCAAACATGGTGGGATACTTAACTTCTTAGGTCTAATTGGTTTAATTGAACATTGTGTAATTAACAGAATGTTGTAGTTTTGCTTTACGTGGCTTGTGGATCTTGGATGATATGTTTTCTTGGTAAGTCTTTTATAAACCCTCTAGATTTAATTTTATGGATTTTCAAGTATATGACAGTAATTTTTATTTAATTTTGTGGATTGGTTTTATATTCAAAAAAACAAAATAGAAGGATATTGTTGGACAAGAACAGGAGAGAGACAAGCTGCAAGAATGAGAGAAAACTACTTAAGAGCAGTGTTAAGACAAGATGTTGGTTACTTTGATCTTCATGCCACAAGCACTTCTGATGTTGTCACTAGTATCTCTAGTGACAACCTCGTCATACAAGACTGCCTCAGTGATAAGGTCTACACTTTGCAAATTAACCGATCATGTTTTGTAAAAACATATGTATTCTTATTGTTATTTAATAATTATGATTTCAAACAGTTCCCAAACTTTCTGAAGAATGCAGCTTCGTTTGTCGCGAGCTATATAGTAGGTTTCATCTTGTTGTGGAGGCTCACAATCGTAGGCGTCCCGTTCATCATCCTCCTTTTAGTCCCGGGACTAATGTATGGACGAGCCCTTGTCAGCATCTCAAGGAAGATACGTGAGCAGTACAATGATGCTGGTGCTATAGCCGAGCAGGCAATATCATCGGTACGAACTGTCTACGCATTTGTTAGTGAGAAAAAAATGATAGGGAAGTTCTCAACTGCGCTTAAAGGATCGGTGAAGCTAGGGTTGAGACAAGGGTTAGCTAAAGGAATCGCCATTGGGAGCAGTGGTGTTATTTATGCTATATGGGGATTCTTAACTTGGTACGGAAGCCGGATGGTTATGTACCATGGCTCCAAAGGTGGTACTATCTTCGTAGTTGTTAGTTGCATCACATATGGTGGCGTGTAAGTTATTATGCTTTAATGCTATTTCGTTTTTCTTGACTCACAAGAAATTAATCATATGTTGTATTAACCTTTAGTATCTTACATTTTTTATTTTTCAGAGAACTTGGTCAAAGTTTGTCGAATATCAAGTATTTCTCGGAGGCATTTGTAGCATGGGAACGGATTTTGGAAGTGATAAAAAGAGTCCCTGATATAGATTCAGAGAAAATGGAAGGTCAGATTCTGGAGAGAATTAAAGGAGAAGTTGAGTTCAATCATGTGAAGTTCATGTATCCTTCTAGACCTGAAACCCCTATCTTTGAAAATTTATGTCTAAAAATTCCATCCGGGAAAACTGTAGCTTTGGTAGGCGGAAGTGGGACGGGAAAATCGACCGTGGTATCGCTTTTACAGCGGTTTTATGACCCGAATGCAGGAGAGATTCTCATTGATGGTGTGTCCATTAATAAGCTCAAAGTGAATTGGTTGAGATCGCAAATGGGTTTGGTTAGTCAAGAGCCAGCACTCTTTGCCACATCTATAGCGGAGAACATATTATTTGGTAAAGAAGACGCATCCATGAATGAAGTAGTTGAAGCTGCCAAGGCCTCAAATGCTCATAATTTTATTTCTCAGTTCCCTCTTGGTTACAAAACTCAGGTTATATTTTGCATATAATAACAAAGTAATTTTAGTCTATTTTTGGTAGTAAAAAAAAAAAATTATAGTTTCATTTTCTTACAATTGATACTAAAAATTATAGTTTTGCTGTTTTTATGAACACAATAAAAGGTTGGAGAGAGAGGAGTGCAAATGTCAGGAGGCCAGAAGCAAAGGATTGCAATTGCGCGAGCGATAATTAAATCACCAATAATTCTCCTTTTAGACGAGGCAACAAGCGCTTTGGACTCTGAATCTGAAAGGATAGTTCAAGAATCCTTAGACAATGCCTCTATTGGTCGTACCACTATCGTAATTGCCCACCGCCTCTCTACCATTCGTAATGCTGATGTTATATGTGTAATCAATAATGGCCACATTGTGGAAAGTGGATCGCACGAAGAGCTTATGGAGAGGATAGATGGTCAATACACTTCTCTAGTCCGCTTACAACAAATGGAGAAAGAAGAATCTGGTGTAAGTATGAAAAGGGGTGAAGACTTGAGTTTGAGCCAAGATTCAAAGTATAGTCAACAAAACTCTATTAGTTGCACGAGTACAAGCATTGTTACGAATCTTTTGATTCCTTATGATAATCAGCCGCTTGTGCCATCATTTAAGAGATTGATAGCAATGAATAGGCCAGAGTGGAAATATGCATTATATGGTTGCGTAAGTGCAGCTTTATTTGGTGTCTTACAACCGATATTCGCATATACTTCGGGATCAGTTATATCAGTGTTCTTTCTAACAAGTCATGAGCAGATCAAGGAGAAAACAAGGTTCTATGTTTTGCTATTTCTAGGTTTAGCCGCATTCTCTTTCTTGATCAGCATTAGTCAACATTACAGTTTTGCATACATGGGTGAATACTTAACAAAGCGTATACGTGAAAACATGCTCTCGAAGATGCTGACGTTTGAAGTCAATTGGTTTGATATAGATGATAACTCAAGTGGCGAAATTTGCTCGAGACTAGCAAAAGATGCTAATGTGGTATGTGTTCCACTTTTATTTTTTGAACTTTACCACACAATATGTTGTTTATCATATCTTGATGTTGGAATGCGTTTTTATGATAGGTGAGATCAATGGTTGGCGATCGAATGTCATTGTTGGTACAAACCATATCAGCAGTTATAATTGCTTGCATAATTGGTTTGGTCATTGCTTGGCGATTAGCCATCGTTATGATTTCAGTGCAGCCACTAATTGTTGTTTGCTTCTACACTCAACGAATTCTGCTCAAGAGCTTGTCTGAAAAGGCCAACAAAGCTCAAGATGAAAGTAGTAAATTAGCCGCTGAAGCTGTCTCAAATATACGAACCATCACTGCCTTCTCCTCACAAGAACGAATAATAACATTACTGAAAAAGGTCCAAGAAGGTCCTCGGCAACAAAGCATCTACCAATCATGGTTAGCTGGGATTGTTCTTGGGACTTCTAGAAGCCTAATAACGTGTACTTCAGCTTTAAATTTTTGGTATGGTGGTAGACTAATCGCTGATGGGAAGATGGTGGCAAAGGCATTCTTTGAGATATTTCTGATTTTTGTAACTACTGGTCGGGTTATCGCCGATGCTGGGACCATGACGACAGATATAGCCAAGGGTTTGGATGCAGTTGGGTCAGTGTTTGCAGTGTTAGACCGCTGCACAACCATTGAGCCAGAGAACCCTGATGGATACACCCCCGAAAAAATAAAAGGAAACATTAGTTTTTTGAATGTGGACTTCACTTATCCCACAAGACCTGATGTAATTATATTCAAGAACTTCTCCATTGAGATCGATGAGGGGAAGTCAACAGCTATTGTAGGTCCAAGCGGTTCAGGTAAATCCACAATAATTGGCTTGATTGAGCGGTTCTACGATCCGTTAAAAGGTATTGTTAAAATTGATGGCCGTGATATAAGGTCATATCATCTAAGATCACTTCGTCAATTCATATCTTTGGTTAGCCAAGAACCGATTCTATTTGCTGGGACAATCCGAGAGAATATTATGTATGGAGGAACATCTAACAAGATCGAAGAGTCTGAGATTATCGAGGCAGCAAAGACATCGAATGCTCATGATTTCATCACATCACTATCTAACGGCTACGACACAAACTGTGGAGACAAAGGAGTACAATTGTCTGGTGGTCAAAAGCAGAGGATCGCAATTGCTCGAGCTGTTTTGAAGAACCCATCAGTATTGCTCCTCGATGAAGCTACAAGCGCTCTAGACAGCAAATCAGAGCATACGGTGCAAGATGCGCTCGAACGTGTAATGGTTGGAAGGACAAGCATTGTGATCGCACATAGGCTTAGCACAATCAAGAACTGCGACACGATCGTTGTTTTAGACAAAGGGGAAGTTGTTGAATGTGGTACCCATTCTTCCTTGTTGAGAAAGGGTCCAACGGGAGCTTATTTTTCATTGGCCACTATGCAGAGAACTCTCACTTGAAAGTCAGACGTGTATAAAATACTCTCTTTGCCATGTAAAACATGAAAATTTCCACAGAACAATAAAAATTCAACTGTTATATTTGAGAGAATGAAGTGTCGTAAATTAAAAAAGGTGAAGTTAGTGTTCAGATGCACTCTATTGCCATCTGAGACCAAACAGAGTCAACGAAGTGGTAATCACTAATATAGAGGTAGAAGGTACCATGGTGTGTCATGCTTGAGTGCAAAAGTGATCTAATTGACTTCTTAAGTGGTTATAATCTTGTTAACACATTTGGCAGTTGAATTGTTCTTGGTTCAATGCTAATGGAAAATCGAAGCTCATCAAGGACTTGGAATGTAGGGAGGAAGTTATTATATGAGTGGTTGAATCTCAAGTTATTATTGGTTTTGTTGGTTGTTTAGTGTAAAGAAAATCGTGGCTCATTGAAAACCGAAGATCGTGATCAGTGTCGAAGATACTAACTAGGGACTAGTATTGTTTACTTCAGCATTCCACAGTTAGTAAGATTTCCAGAAAAGTGGTTTCTTATATCCTAAGAGGTGAAAAGTTTATGTCTTACCATCTTGAGACCTGAGTGTATCAAACTTTCCTTGGCTTTAACTACGACACTTCCATATCCTGCAGAAAAAGAAACATAACAAAATTTGTACACATCAAAGCATATAGGAAAAAAAAATTTGAGAAACTACTAGCTCAACTGTATGGAGAAATTTGACAATGCAATCTAGTCATGTTGACTGATTCTCCGGTATTAAAGCCAAGTGAGAGCCGGTTTCCTGATTATCATCAGTATTTCCACTAATATATCAAAATGTACAAGTCGATGTGCCAAATAAAATCAAAAGTTACTCCTATACAGATTATGCTTCTTGAAATTGTAGTTAACTAAACACATGTCTACATAATTTCAGGATGAGAACCTATATATGATATCTTTTCCTGACTATATGGTCTATGAAGCATTGTTGATAAAATTGGATAATAAGGCTATGAAAGTCTATTTATGAGCCTGAAGTAGAGACTAGCAGAAATCTGGTAGGTCTATATTTGAGATTTTGGTTAAAGTTTATTGGTTTCTGTAATATGGTTACACTAACAGATAGCAAATAAGTTTTAGTGCAACTAGAGAGATATCTGAACACGGATGCATCTGACTGTATATCAGCATTCCACATAAGCCTATGACATTTGAATATTAATGCAACTGGTTCCAGTATCGTGATGGCATTTCAAAAATGTTATAGAGAAATGAAAATTATGGTGTGTAAGGGTTAACATACTTGATCTCCCTGAAGAAGTAAGCTCAAGACTTCCAAATTTTCTGCCTGGCATTGTTGGCAACGACATCTCTTTTGCAGCTCCTCTCCGAGTGAAGCCAATATCTGTTCCAACTCAGAAGTCTGCTTGTTTTCTGTCAAGGAAACTATTCTCTTGAAAGAATGTCAGGTCAAAATGAAAAGTGCAAGCACTAGCTTGCTTTTAAATTCTAGCAAGAAAATGGCTGGCTGCAGAGTACAGGCAGTCTCAGAAAGAACAGATATAGTAGGTGCAAATGTGATAAATGATTACTGCAACTGTAGTATCAGTATATAAACTGTGATTCAATAGCTAGCGGCATTAAGGATATTTAGCAAGAACTTGAACTGAATTTGTTTTCTCTGTTATGGCCTCCATGAGTGACATTTTCTTCTCATACTCATCAAGCTCCTTCTGCAGCTACATATAGAAAAACCGATATCAATCCCATTTGTTCTCTTCATAGAATGAGTAAACAAAATCTGAAAAGTAGGGACTGCATAAGCTAGAAAGGTACTTGGAGCAGAAATATTCATGAATCTTGGTCCTGTTCCATTACCTGTTCTTGTATCTTCTGCTCAACCAGGTATCCTTCTTCCTCTTTTGCTAATTGGGAATTTACATCAGATATCATATTCTTAATAGCTTCTGAATCAACTTCATAACCATCCTCAAAAGCTTTGACATCTGCTAATATGAAACATATCCGGAAGCCATAATTTCTTAATAAACATCGAAAAATCAGACAAGAAGAGTAAACTATAAACTTTAGCTACTCACTTGCAGTTACGCCAGTACTATCACCATTGCTAAAACTCGATTCTACTGTTCGCTGGAACTCCCTATTACCAACCAAGCAACTTAGATTGTGTTGCATCAGCAGAAATATTAAACAGACATAGAATCAAAGTTAACCTGATTTCCTTGTTCAGATCTTCCATTTGGCTTATAAACTGATCTCTGTATACCACAAATAGATTAAACAATCACCAAACTACACCAAAGCTAATGTCAGGAACTTGAACTTATTAAGATGTTAGAAAGATCAGAATCACCTGAGTAATCCTTCATTGTTCTGCATTTCGCCAACCATCAAGTCACCCACAAAAACTCCAAAATATCAAACGAAACTAACAAACCAAGCACTAAAACTCAAATAAACAATGTGCAGTGTTGTAGCCAGCAGACCTTACGAGCATCAACTTCATTGCCAATAATAGAAACTTCATCCTGAAGATGACCAATCCTCGCCTGAGAATAACAAATACAGTTCCTATTTCACTATACACCACAATCTCTTAAGTCATTCCCAAAAAATCAAGTTAACTCTAAACAAAATCAAAAACCTCCAGAGACTGAATCGTAGCATCGTTAAAAGACAATTCAACTTCGTAACCATTAAGCTCTTCTTCCGCAACTTCTTTGATACGCTTCGCTTTCTCAAGTTCTGAATTCGCTGATTCAACCTCCGATTGTAAAACCTCGATCCGTTTCTTCAATCCAACAACTCTTTGCTCTTAACGAGAAAAATCACCAACAAAATCAGAACCAAATGAAGATCTAAATCGCAAAAAACTCAAAAAAAATAGCCAAAATCGCATTTCGTTTCGAATTTTCTACTAAACGCCTTCTGATTTCTTCTTCTTCTTCCTCATCGCGAAATCTCCAGAAAACAAAATGTATTGAAATGTATGAAGATCTAACCTCCACGAGATCGTTCCGAGGTGAAATCGCGGATCAGAGAGAGAAGCTGCTTCTGCGTATCGGTTCCCGCCATGGTTGTGTTTCTTCGTCTGTTCAAGCTCTCTCCTCTAGTCTCTCTCTAGTCTCAGTTCCTTTTTGTTCTGAAACTGCTCGCGTCTATGTGAGCAGCGCAATAATTAGTAATATCTCGGCCCAACATATAAAAGCCCAACATATTTATAAAAGGCATATCATATTTATAAAAGCCCAAATTACTGAGCCTTAAATATTTTATGATATTCAGTATCGTATGAATTGAAAACTCAAAAGCATAATGCGTTTGTATACAAAGCTGACACGTGTTGCAAACCAATACTACTATATAATAATACAAAGTTTACAAAGAACTAGCTCAAGTTTATTGGAGACTAATTAATACTATTAACATATTTTGAAGGATTATTTAGCTAGGTGGTTTCATTATGACTAGATTATTCCAATATAAAATTCGGGATTTTAGTCAAGAAATAGAAAGAACTAGTACAAATTTATAATGGAGGTTCAGAAGAAAGGTTTGAAAGATGAGGAACTGAAAAATTTTAATAGTGGCTTCGAATGCAATATGCATCGCAAGAAGAAAACAAAAGAGGTATTGGAATAGTGTCAAAACTCAGTTTAGTACCAAAACCTGAGTACAAGTTCAACAATTGGAAAAAAGAACCGATAAAAACTACATATGATATATATAATGATGTACTTTCTATGTTTTAGAAAAATTTACGTAATTTTTGAATATTTTTACAATTATGAATACAAATCTATATGCAAATAAGATGGTTGCTAATGATAAAGATTAATATATGATATAGTCGTGAATTGGAAAAAAAATACAGAGAACAAAAAATTATGAAATAAGAAAATTTCATGATTTTGTCATGAGTTGGAAGCTTATATATGGCTATGGAAACTTTATATCTCTTTTATGAAGGTGTAGTTTTGGTCTATCAAGATAGTACTAGCTCTGATTTAAACCGTAAACTACATATTGAGCTATGAAAAAGCTTAATCTAAATTATTCCTCTGAGCTAAAATGTGACATCAAACCAAAGCAGCAAAGAAATTAGATTAAACTTTAGATCGGTGATTATTTTTACCGTAGTGTCATAAAAAAAAGTAGTTTATAGATTATATATAAGTATAAGGTAAGTGTTCTACTATGACCTTTCAATCTAATTTTTAATTTATTTTTTGAACAAATATTGTTCAATATATTTTGTTACCAAAATGTGTCTATCCAACAACACGAAAAAGGCTAAACAAAATAAGTTGATAGCACTATTCTTGTAGAATCCCTGATCAAAAATTGTTCATAGGATCCACATAAGAAGCCACGTTAAATCCACCATCTGAATGTTGTTTTTTCTATACTGAGATTTTATTACTAATTTGACTCTTGCAAAGGATAATGGAAAACACGTTGAAGTAATTAAATTTCTTTTCAATAAAAATTTTGTTGGCCACATTACTTACTTGTATTAGCCAGCAAAAATCTTTGTTTTTTCTTGTTTCATATTTTTCAAAATAAACAAGAGTGCGTATATTAATCAGCAATTTAGCATACAATAAATATATTATATATATAGTATTAAACTAAACGGTCCATTTTTCGATTTTCCTACCAAAACTCGATTCTATAAGAATAAATAAATATATTAATAAACAAAAAGGATATGCGTAAATACACAGAAAAGATCCATAAATAATCATGATGTATTTATTACATGTTTAATCCTTTACTCAAAATAGTCATTATCCTCTAATAGATTAGTCTTATACACGTAAATTATTAAGTATATTTTTAAGACCTTACTCAAATTAACAAGAAGACAATATAAAGCACTATAGGTTTATATACATGTGAAAAATAATGACCATGATGTGAAGGTTAGTGGTTGTGAAGGACTGATAATAATCACTAGTTGGCCAAGTTGAAAAGCAATTTAGCTAGGTGATATGACTGATGAGCCTTTTGCCACTTATAGAAACCTGTTGGCTACTACATCTCATATGATTTGATGTTGATGACATGCTTACTCGATGCTTTGCTCGAGTTGATAGTGATGAATGTATATAGTTCGAGTAATGATCGAGGTTTTTTTTAATGGTTAACAGTTGAATATATTCTTCAAATTTTTATTTTTTTTTGTCATCATTACAAATTATACATCTCTGTTTGAGAGGGACCGGGCTCGAACCCGGATCTGGTGAGAAGGCAACAGAGGTGAGAACCACTAGCGCACTTGTCCTTCAAAATATAATCACATAAACACATCCAAATTTATTTTGATTCATGTGTGTGTTGTTTAAGAATCAAAACCAGGTTTTAAGGAGGAGCAAGGAGACATTAGGACATCCTCATTAGAAGTATCTTAGAGGTTAAATTTGCTTAGGAAAATATCTTATATGTTGTCGTGAGCAAACTCTATCACATCAATAGTTACTCTTAAGCAAATTTTTCTAAACAAATTTAACCTCTAAGATACTCTTAACGAGGATGACCTTACAAGCTTACTCTGAAAGGTTAAAAAAAAAGAGAGAGCATCTAACAATGTTTATGCCGTCATGAGCAACAATGTCGAAAGAAGTGAGACTTTTAATAAACTGTTCATAAATAGGAAAGAAAAAGAAACATAAAGAAAGTGATGAACTTTAAAAAAACAAATGTGTCCCCCCACTGGTTTATTGTACTCTTTGGTGTGCCACTAAATTTTTGTAATGCAAACATACAAATCATTACTCTTTGGCATTATTCATGAAACATTCATGCTATCACATCAATAGTTAATTAATTATTGAATCCTAGGAGGAACAAATACAGATTCCTAAACATGTTATAATTGGTAGTAATAGTATTGGGTGAGTTTGAGTTAAACCCAAATGGTCATCTAGATATATTGGATATACACAATAAAAATTCTTTAACAAAAAAATATATAATAAAATTAAGAAATATATTTCATACTTTCAATACCTAAGTGAAACTTCTCTATTGGGACAATTGCACCTTAAGTTGGTGTTTGAAGATTAGTTTCAACAATCAGCTGAACATTAGACAAAATATGTAGAATAAATTTGGTAGACCAATCATCAAATTACTAAATCTAAAATCGCACAATCAATTAAGCAAGTCCTTAAAATGCTTTACAGGCATACTAGTTGAGCTATCAGGGAACAAGACATAGATAATGTGGTTGCTTTTGATAGTTGTAATGTGATGATCACTAAACTACAATCTCTAATTACATTAATGGGTGCCACATATTTATCTCTCTTTTTCTTTCTTTAATAAAACATTGGAAATTTGCATATGATTAGATTTAACATTAATTTGTTTTTTATACCGAAAAAATCGCATGCCAAAATCAAGACTAATCTCTAGGTTTCATATGACCTCCATTCACTTGAAGACTTAAACACTTCAAGAAGAACCACTAGAGTCTAGACCACCACACATGAATACATTGTGCTTAGTAAGATTTCATGCAAATGAAAGGAAAAAAAAATGGCTTCAAGAAACTATAACAATATATATTTTGGTAATTTGCATATTTAATTTAAAACCTATTCAGGATTCAGCTGTAAGAATAACTTAGTTGCTGAATTAGAGGATACGGTGTTCTTGCCTTCTTGGTGCCGTAGACATGGACGCAAATGAGCGTGATCTAGCCTTTGCCTGAATTAGTGGCTTCGGTTGGTATCCTAGTGACAATTTATTTAATGTGATGCTCACACTAGTTAGCATATTAATTAGTTGTGATTTAGTAGTTTAGTTTCCGAACTCCCATAATCATAAAAACAACATCACATGCTCTCTTAGATTCATGTTGGGTCTTTATAGAGTAAATTGGTAAGAGTAGCCAATATATTTTGGTTGAAAGAGTAGTATATGACATGTATTTGGAATATATAAGTAAATGATTATTTGGAGACAAAGATAACTTTCTATGATTTTTAACCTCTCTTTTTCGCTCTATGATTTTGTGCCTTCCTTCATTGTGAAAATTGATTTAATCTCATAAGTTATATTACTAACAAATATTAACCTTTTGGCATATATTGGAGTTTGAATTTTGGAAAATTAACACCAAATGATCAATAAAGCGATATGTAAAATAGAGACAAAATAAAAGAAACATCGGTTAAATTATGATTTATCATAGGTTTATAACTCAAAATCAATTAAAAATTAGTAGATTGACCTTAACATTTTATGTACTACTTAAGTCTCTTCACATATTTATAATGAGAAATCTTTTTCCACTCATCCCTTCTATAGCTAGCTGTTAATCTCGATAGAATCCATCAAGTCTTTCGAGAATAAAATTTTAGCTATTAATCTCAACATAATCTATCAACATCAAATATTGTTTGTGATGTGTTAATAAAAACACATTATTTAGGTATAACATACATATCCAAATGGATTACTTGGTCATATTATAATTAAGTTATGGTTATTTATCTTAATTTCTCTTGCTTTTGTTTTTCAATATATATCTTTCATTTCTAGTATAGGCTTGCACTTGCATGCATGTTTAGCACTCTAGTTTATGAAAATTGGTCATCATATATAACTGCATCCATCGTATGAACTACAAATATAAAATTAAGACAAGTCAGCGTTTACACATAATTTTAGACGATCAGAAAAAAAACGTCACCACTTACGTATAAATCTTGGATAGTGACCTCAGGAAGGTATCATTTGCCAAAATAACGTGAGTTTAGTGTATAAAAACTATACGTGTGACTTGTTAAATTGGTCGTTTAAATAAATTATTTGATGATAACATTGTTTATAGGGAGAATAAGTATAACTATAATTATTCTTAAAATATCACTTATATAACATGTTCTGAAACTTATCAGAACGAGACGAATAGTTACCTAAGGCATATTCCAAAAAGAAAAAGAATTTTTCTATTAGGTAATTTCACTGAAAGATCAAATGTGTAGTGACAAAACAAACAAACAAAAAAAAAAGAAAAAAAAAACAAATTAAAGAGTATTCGGATTTGTTGTTTTTTATTTAAAATAATTTATAAGTATTTATGTAGAATAAATTGATAAATTGTACATAATCAAAC